TATATTCCTTAACTTTTAGAGTCATTTAAACTATTACTTGCAATAGCTATTACAGCTGTTTATAGGTTTGAAGTAAGCATACAAAGTATAAGAAAACTTTCAATTACAAAACTTCATCTTGGCTCACAGCTTTCAGTATGATCCGCTCTTGCCACTGCACTTCCTAATATTTTTGTAAATGCTCATGAGCTAAACTTTTTCAAACATTTGGGGGTCCAGCATGGTTTTTCTCTACACTCCCTACTTCTTTGAATAGAGTTATTGTTGGTGAATCCCTGCACAGTTCTCTGTTCGTTCAAGCTAAATCCATCAGAGTATTTTTTGGAAGCTTCTTCAGGAGTGGACTGAGGCGGTTTCAACAACCACTATGCACTGATAAATATTTCAAAATTGCTACAACCTCTGGGAAAAGAAGAAAAGGAAATGTGCCAATTCCAGAAGTCATTATGCAACATTAATAATCATGGATTATGCTAATCAAGTTTGGGACAACAGCCTTCTAAAAAAGGACAAAACAAGTTGCAAACATAGCGAGTGGCTAAAGTTCTTCATTAGACCAAAACAATTTTCTTGGTGCCTGTGAGGAACCTCACAACTTCTCCATGATAGAGGAACTGTCATTGGAACCACTCTGGGTTCAATTTCCTTCCCTACTTCCTTCACTGAACTTTATATAGTGAAAGCTGATGAACATCCGTTTTAGAAAAAGAGTCCTTACCATTTTGATAAATGTGGATATTTTTTCATGTTCCTGTACAGTTAAAACCTGATGTTAAAAACACTGTCCAAAAAATACACATGACCTTATGTTCCTCTCTGTATGACATAAATTAGATTAAAATCTTTTTTAAATATTCCCAAAACTGACTGTATTCTGCACCAGTGTCCCTTCCTTCTCCTATGGTGCCAACATCCCACTGAGAAAAGACATTCTTTGCTCAAAGCACACAGAAAAAAAAGGAAAAAACAGTTTGCAAATGTAATCGGAAGTAAAGACCTTTATCTTTTAGACTAAAATTAGAGTGTCTGGGCATGATGGCCATCCTTAAATTTGGAGACAAAATGGGAACCATTTGACTTTGAAGTATGGGGGTGGCTGCACTATGATGAGGTGCTTAAGGGGAATATTGACTACACTAAACACATGGCTTAAATTGTCTAATGTTTGGGTGTACATGTGTAATTCAAATGGATAATAAAACATACTTACATGAAGTGGTTTACAACAACAGACAATATTTAACAGCAGCTGTCATAAAGGCCTGACCTTAGGCTGATAAAAAAATGTGTGGACAGATTTGAAAAAGGGAATGAGCAAGAAGTGGTGTGGCTCAGTTACACCACTTCTTTTCAGAGTAATTTAATAAATGCTTATGAAGGAAAACTCAAGACATTTGACCCAAGACCGTTAGTTGAAAAGCTATTAAACAAAACAACAGAGAAGAAAATGTAAAAATGTAAACCTTAAAAAAAAGGAAGAAAACATTTATCTCACTAATTATACAGACATATAGAGGTATGCAGATGTGCACAAATATCTACATGTGGTTCTGAAATAATGATGTACAGTTCTGAATTGGTCTTATACCATCAAGTTGTAAAACAACATTAGTGATTTACTTTAGTTTTGTATATCAGTGATATCAATCTTGTATATAAAAAGAGTTTTGCTCTGCGATTATACCTGCATTTGTGATAGTATTTTGCTCGAATTAGTCATGTGTATCTTTTATTTATTTATATTTTTTACAGTGTCCTGTCTGGCAATAAGAATAATTGTCTTGAAGTCAAAAAGAGCCCAACAGATTTTACTTTCACAAGTGGAGCAGTACCGCTATCGCCTTAGTGTTCCGCTTGTTTTATGCATATAAAGTGCTTTATTATAATTATGCAGGGAGTTTTACAGATTATATGGATGCTGCAATGTATGTAGAACAGGAAAGGAAAAACAGAGAAAAAAAAGGATAAAAGATGAAAGAAAAAAAGAGATAAAAGGGAGATAACGATAAAACATTTCCAGTCTGCTTCATCACCTGCAAAGAGATTCAAAAAGAACAGGACAACAAATGCATGTATTATAAGAGATACAATAAAGTAACACCTAGATACTATCGCTGAAATATAAGTAGTATTATTTAATCTAACATGTGTTCTGTGTTACCTGAAGATAAGATATGGGCTTTCTGTGTGGAAGTGAATCTCTATGTACCTGGAACCAAGCATCTGTAATTGTTTGGGAAAGTGCCTATGTATTTTTAACTATAGGCCCATTACCTTACGCGAAAGTTTAGACACAGTCTTGATTAAGTCTATATACCACTTCAATGCTCTTACTTATAAGCCATAATAGAGGAAGAACCAGATCAAGCTGCTCTGCCTTTGCATTTTGTTGCTTACAAGGTTTCAAGTAGACTTATACTTCCAGATTTGTAATAACTGTTGTTTTTTAATATTTCAGACCAGAGAAACAGTATAAAGGACACTGTGAGGGTGCTATGTCATCATTCTTTGTGCTACTGGTTTATTCACCTAGCTATAGCTTTTATGTTGTCCTTTCATGCAATGATGGATTTTTTTTTTCTTCTATTACCACAAATAGGCATAAAAAATGCCAAGTATTAAAAATAAACAAACCCAAGGGAGTACTTTCTTTTGTGGCCTGGCCTTTAACAGCTCAAGTAAAAAAAAAAAAAATTCTTTATTTGATCATTTGCGTATTGCTGTGGCTGCACATAGAGGTAAAGGTTTACTCTACTGTATGACATACTCTGAGTTAGTTTGGAAAAAGTTGGACCAAGATTAGCTATGTTCCCTTTGGTGTATTTTTATTTGAACTAGTATTTCTTCCTTTAGGTCTGGTAGGCATATGTATAATTACAACTCAAATCTAAGTAAAAATGTCCCACTTCAAATAAAATATGAGATATTTAATTTGATCTAGAGGTTTCTCAAGAGATATAGTTTATTGAAAATCAAAATGGTGGAATTTGAACTTTTTTCTTCATGTAACCTTCAAAATATTGGATTTAAACTAACTGTAAAAATGGAGTCAGAGAGAATACATTACAGTTTTGTTTAAATGATAAGAATATGAACCTAATTATTTCAATTGGAATCTAAACAATTAGTTATGGTACACATTTGATATACGGTGAGTCTTAGATCCAATTTACATACAGTCCAATCAGTCAATGTCAAAGTTACATAATCTGTTGATCCCCAGACGGATCTGATAAACGGTTAATCTGCATGATTACTTAAACATCACTGACATGATCCCAAAACAAACTGATTACGGTAATACAATGTCCTCAAGTGATTCAGCCCCCCCGTAATTGACATTTATGCACTTTTTTTTGCATGCCACGTATCACTTTACTTGGATTTTCACTTTATTTGGATTTAGTTTTTACATATGCATAGATATACGTACAGCTATATATACAGAAGAGCTATATGTGTATATATTTTATCTCTTTTTATTCTTGTTTTTTTTCTTTATTATATTGTATAGTTGGATGTGTGTATATATTATAAAAAACTATAACTGGAGCACGTAACAAAAGTAATTTCCCTCTTGGATTATTACAGTATTTCTGATTCTGAATATGGATACAGCTAAAATATCTAGGTAAAAATTAGAAATCAACACGAATTGTGATTTAGGTAAAATAAATTTGAGGTCAGAACAATAGTCTGTCATTGTGTGACAGGAAGTCTGTCTGCTACCATAGAAACAGAAATAAAAAACTGTCTTTCCTGTAAGTTTGATCGCTCAAAGTCAGAAAATCGCCATAGCCTCAAAGATGAGTCATGGAGAACTGCTGCCCAAAGCTGTGACATCACTTCCCCCCCACATTTAAAAATCAGCCGTCAGCCTGCGTTTAGCCCTATCAGCATAGCCTTTTACAAGCTACACAAAAAGATATGTCTAAACAGGGTGTCAGACACAACTACATCTTTAGTATGAAATTGAAGCTTAAAAATAGGCTGTGTGTATCAGAGTATTTTTTGTGTAGCGTCTCAAACAAGTTAGGAGCATCTAAAATATCAATTTTTAGCCGTATCACAGCTCTTTCACTGGTTATTTGTAGCAACTTTTTACCATGCATTTTAAGCCCCATTTGGGTTGTGCATCCTATTGAATTTATCACATGCAATGTATGCATCCATATGCAATTACAGGAGCAGTTTTTAAATCAACTTAAATTCCTACACAGAAGCTGTGGAGTGTGTTAAAATAGTGGCAGATGGAGTCTAGGTTGCATTTACAATGCATCACAAAAAAGCACTAGTGTAGGTCTAAATTGATTACTGAATACGGACCTAAAAATAAGATGGCTTTGCATCGTTTACACCGAGGTCTTTTTTTTTTTTTTAAACGTGGCATAGAAATGTCCCTGACCCACACGAGCCCATTGGCGCCATTAAAACTCAGTGAATGGCAGTACATTTGTCTTAATGAAGCAGATAGTTTAAAGAAAAAAAAAAAAAAAACTGGGGCCTATTCATGATGCAATCCCTCTCAAAAATAAACCTGCAGTCTTCAAAAACCTGGATCGGATATGTCAAAACATTGAGATTTGGTCAAGTCCTAGAATGTTTACCAGTTTTGGTCCAAACTAGTGTTTAGTTCTGGGCAACTTGGAGAATTTTTTTTTAAACCAGTGACCTTATGCACCATTTCCTATTAAGGCTTGTTAACATTTTCTTTAGACATTTTGTGGCTCATTTCCCACCCCAGCTTCAATTATCTTTTATTCTCCCTTTTCTGGGAAACTAGATCCACTGGCAGGACAGCTTGCAAACATTTGCAATGTGTTAAATATTGTTGGCATCAGCCTGTTTACTTCAAAAGTAAATTTACATGCCTTGGGGGGTGGGAGACCCACACCAGCTGCAGCATTAAGTGCCCTTTCAAAACCAAAGTTAGATGTAGCTCAAGATTCAGACAAAGTCCAAATAACGAGGTTTCCATTAAAACAGACTATACACCATGGTTTTTGTCTCAAGTTTGTTTTAATTTGACATTCTGAAAATTGTGCATTCCAGGTTTACAAGAAATATCTTGCTTAGTGAGCATTCAAAACTGGCCAGGAGGAGGCCACAAGCAAGTCCATCATTCCACAGCAGGGATTAAAGAAATCCCACGCCAAGGGAAGCCATATCCAGAAGAATTTGATGCCATTGCTGTGGGATGTGCAGTACATAGACCGGTCTTCATGATGACTCTGCCTTCTCCTGTTCAATTGCTGGAGCAAAAATGGAATCAGGAGTTAGCCACATAAAACAAATGCCTGCAATAAAGTTAAGAGTAAAACTTACTTTCTTTGGTTGGCAGGGGGTTCTTCTCTTGGGTTTCAGTCTTCTTCAGCTTGGTTTTGTCAAAGGTTGTGACCTCAGTAACATCAGGTTTGTCAGACATGATTGTAGGGGACCTATCAGAAAACAAACTTGTAACTTTCTAGAGGCTTGCTAGAAATTAAGTCAAACCCAATATTTAAGGGAAACAGTCATCTTTAAACTTTGTTTAAAAATAAAGCAGGTGGTTAGCATTGATAAACATCAAAAGACCATTTATTTCAGCATATAATTTCTGAAACTAACCTTTATTCAAATACTAAAAGCTAAATGTTGAGAATATTATCTGTTCATCTGGAAACTACAACCATAACCTGTAGGTTTATGCATTGCTCAATATGCAAAAGGAGAACTTACCAAGCTTGCAAGCACAGAGACCACACAGGAAGACTGTCTCAAAGAAGCAGGAGCAGAGTGATAATGCACGTCGCCATCAGCCTATAAATACTGCCCAGTATGTTAATAAGCGTCTGACGTCACGCTTCTTCTAAGTTTATCAACCAGCTATATTTCATTAAATCAATATATACTTTTTATTTTAGGTTAATTTAAAGTCAAATATCACCCATATCCATATTGATATATAAGTATGGACAAGTAAGGACAATCTTTTCTGACTACTTCTAAGCACTTTCAATTAAACCACACCAGCTGCATCTCATTAGCTTACATGATTAAAAGGGGTCCGGTAAATTACTCCGCTTGTCTCGTGAGGTTGTGCGCAACACAGCAGTGGTTCTAGACGTTTCTTCATGCACAAAAACGCACAAAGGTTTTTAATCCAGAGGTTTTCTGGGTGGAATGATGCGTTTTTAAATGTTTACTACTAGCGACCCCGTGTGGTCTAACACGGTATATCAGGCGAGGAACGACTATAGGCTGATTATTAAGTTATAAATATCTCTTTTTTTCCAGTCCTGACAGTTAAAAAAAGACTTCAAACGGAAACTGATGATGAGTTTTAGTTATTCGTGATTTATTTAAAAAAAGGTATTTACAGATTGTAGAAAAAATCAATCATTTCAATGGACATGAATGTATACAATCTATTATTATTTCAACGTTTTGTTTAATTATGTGAATTGACAGAATTTGAATAAATATCAGTATAACATCATTACATACACATATATATTAAAATAATAAGCAACGGTCTTTTCAAATAATTATCCTTTTATCAAAAAAGATGCAGTTCCTACTTATGAAAGTACCCCATATTTCCTGAGTTATAGACCACCCTAAAATAATTTAGATAACAATGGAATAACTAGCATGATAGAAAAAGGAATTCAGCTCATTCTAACATACACTGAATTTAATACATTTTATTAATGATTAGTTATGTTTTCAATGTGTTTATTGTTTAGATTATGACAGTCATTGTGCATGATAACCACCCTCTTTCACTTGCTGGTGTAAAAGATAAGTCATTTACAATGATTTTTTTTTTTTTTTCATATTTTTGAAATGTAAGATTCCTGGCCTGTTTTGATGCAAATAATTACAGATACTATGGTGTATTTCAAAATATAAATATCCTAAGAAATAAATAAAAAAAATCCCTATGTTTTATTCAACAACCATTAACCCCCTCTCTACCTGCTGTTGAAGAACTTTTTATAAGTCTTGCCATACATGATCTGATTATCCACCCTTACAACATTTCTCAAGTTCTGCCAGAACCAAGGTTCAGCAGCTGCTGTTCTGGGCCACTCCACAACACTTTTCTCACACAGCCTCCTCCTTAGGCGCAGGAAGTGAGAATGCTGCAGCACAGGTTCCAGCATCAGCAACACAATCACATCCATATTTTCATCAAGCAGTCTCTGGTGGGCCAGATACATTGCCAGTTTGAACACCCCAGTCTTAACATAGCCCTCTGTGAGGACAAACAGGGTTTTGCGACTATTTCTGATGCTCTGTGTTAGGTTATCCACTAGAGGCACTCCTGGGAGCCAGTCCCTCTCCTCCAAGCACAACGGAAGAAGCTTCTCACCCTCCTCTTCTAATTTCACTCGTAGATTCATCATTACCCAATCAGATACACGTGGATCTTTGGTGTCATAGGTTACAAAGACATCATAAATATTTTCCTGTGAGTACAATGATCTGTATCCCTTCAGTTTAGCCTTGATATAGTGCATGACATAGGTAGCATCCCAGTAGAACATGTGAGCAACTGTTGCCACAAACATAAAGACAATAAGGAAGAAGGTTGTGAGAATGTACATTCTGAAGGCCTCATCGTCATTTACACATTGGTCAATATTAAAGTATATCAGTGGTTGGTTCCTGTCCTTTTCTGGTGTTTCACATCTTACATCAGTTGTCAGTCTTGGAATCTTTACCTCTCCTTTTCCAATCCATACGATGAAATCCAAAGAATCACATGTACATTGAAATGGGTTTCTCTGCAAAAACAAAGTCTTAAGATTCTCAGGTTTTGGTTGGAAGGTGGACTGATTGATGATATTCAGTTTGTTGGAGCTGAGGCTCAGAGTCTCAAGGGTTTTCATGCCACCGAAGAATGACTTTCCCAAGTGAAAAATGTGATTGTGAGTCAGATCAAGAAAAGTCAAAGAGAGGCTAGTTGCTTTTTTAACACTGGCTATATTGGACAAGGAATTGTGGCTCAGGTCTAAAATTCTAAGGTGAGGGAAGTAAGATAGACTGTCCCATAAAAAATCTGTCATTTTGTTGTGACTGATGCGTAGTTCTGTCAGGTTCCGAGGAAGCTTTTCATAAACATCGACAGGAATATGTTTAATATTGTTCCAGGATATATCTAGAACTGTCAAATTCTTTAGGTTGGTAAAGAGAGTCTTATAGGAGTCCTCTCCTTCTTTCCAAAGAGTTCCAAGCTGGTTATATGTAAACTGCAGTTCTGCTAAAGAACTGCTGTGCATCTGTTTGGTTGTTAAAGTTGAAATTGAATTATGGCTCATATTAAGTACCCTCAGGACAGGTAGGTTTTTTATAAAGTTCAAATTATGCGTGATCCCATAAGATTTAAAGTAGTGAGAATTCCAACTGATGTCTAACACCTCAAGTTTTTTCAGTTCCTGAAAGGCATAGTCATAAGCCAGATCGATCTTATTAAAAGACAAGTCCAAGTAGGTCAAATTAGGCAGTAATGAGAACTCTGTGCCATTAAGTGCAGAAGAGAATCCATTCCCTGATAGATTCAGACAGGCGATATCCCCATAACCTTCAAACTGCTTTTGAGAAATGAAGAACAAATTATTTGAACTAAGAATTAGAACTCGTCCAGAGTTAAAGCACTGTTGCTTTATGAGGCCATGAGATAACTCAAATGAAAAGTCTTTAGGCGGAAGTTTTATAAATGAAGAAATCGAAAAATCTGCTTGTTGAGTGTATCCATTTTCTGAGTAAGAATGATTTGTATGTGGTGTAGGATAGAGCCTGTTTTCTGCTAAATAAATCATCTTCAAAGGAATAAATTTGGTAAAAACAGTGTAATCAGCCTGAATAATAAAGTTAGTCCCCAAATTCAGGGCTGATAGATTTTTAAGTCCATAGAGACTCTTGAGTGTGTCTGGTCCAATGTTCTGGAAGACCAACCCCTCCATATGCAAGGTTCTTAATGAATGAAGTTTTGAAAACTCATTTGAAAGATTAATGGTTTTGGGATAAAGTTTTAAAGCATAGTTGAAAGAAAATTCCATCACTTCGAGCCTTGGGAGGTATCGCAGGAACTTAGCCTTTCCAGTAAATTCACTGAGTAAAAAGTTAAATGAAAGGAGCAGATGTTTCAGCTTCCTTAGGTTCTTAAACCACAATGGATTCAGATATTCCAGAGAGTTTCCTCCCATGTTGAGTTCCTCGAGTTGTGACAGATTTTCAAATGCATCAGGGTCAATTTGAAGTGAACGTTTAGGGCAGGGTATACATGGAAAAGGAGCGTTTTCACATCTGGGGCAGTTTCCTTGTATTTTAAGGAGTTTCAACTGGTTTAAACCAAAAAAGTCTTCCTTTGATATGTGCTGTATTTTGTTACAACTGACATTAAGCATTGTCAAAGACTCCGGTAGGCCTTTTGGAACATGGCTTAAGTTGTTATAAGACAGATCCAGATCTTGCAGTTTGGACATGTGAGTAAAACAGTTTTCTGAGATGTTAAAATATTTTCCACATGGATTCCAGTAGTAGCAGTTATTAGATAACCAGAGTTGTTTCAGGTTTGGTAAACCAGCAAAGCTCCCATCTCTCAGAAATGTGATGTTGTTGTTTTTCAGCTCAAGGATTTCCACACTTTCAGGGAGGTTGTTTGGAATTTCATCAAAACCATTACCAGCCAACCTCAACTCATGCAGTTTTGTTAGGCTCTTGAGGTTTGCCTTAAAGATCACTTTCTTCTTCAGGTTTGCCCAGTTGAGATTAAGCCAAGTCAGATTCAGCAGACCTGAAAATGCGTCAGCTTTAATTGTCTTCAAGGAATTTTCCGATAAATCAAGGGCAGTAACATTGTTAGTTATCCCTTCAGGTACCTTCTCTAGAGCTCGAGCACTACAGTCAAATCGGACTGAAGAAATATTAGGCTCCATCACATCACACAGGAACTGTGCACTCCAGCGAATTTTGCAGGCAGAAGGTTGGATCTCCAGCATGCAGTATAGACCAAGGAGAAGCAGATGAATCCAGCACTTTGCTGTCTGAAATTAATAGTAAAGGGAATGATATTGATGAGAAAAAGCTTATTCAAAAACCTGTATCTCAAATGAACAGATGGGCTCTTGTTGCAATGAACTGCTATTTTTTTTTTTTTTTTGCTTGATTGCATCTTTTTGGTACCATTAAAAAAAATTGTGTGCCACAGTAATAGTTATACTTCAATAAATCTGAATGCATTCAATAACTTAAAGTATTTTTGAAAAAATATTATTTCTTCCTGTTGTTGTTTTAATGTATCATGTTGGGGTGTTTCAGTTATAACATAAATAGCAGATGATTGCCTACATTTACCAGGGTAGCTTTGTTCTATGTTATTTCAAGAAAGTATTCTAGTTGTGTCAGCGCGTTCAGTGAATTCACACTGAATGAGGCATGGAGGGCTTCACAGCCCACTATGTGCTCGCCAGAGGTAGCATGACTACCATTAGATACTGAGATGAGATCCTCTGACCCCTTGTGAGACCATATTCTGGTGTGGTAGGCCCTTGGTTCCTCCTAATGCAGGGCAATGCTAGAACTCATGTCACTGGAGTGTGTCAGCAGTTCTTGCAAGATGAAGGCATTGAAGCTATTGACTGGCCCGCCCGTTCCTCAGACCTGAATCTGATTGAGCAAATCTGGGACATCATGTCTTGAACCATCCACCATTGTCCCGTTGCACTATGGACTGTTCAGGACGTGGTGTTTTAGCCCAGGTTTGGAAAGAGATCTCTCAGGAGACTACCTGCCACTTCATCAGGCGTATACTCAGACGTTATAGGGAGGCCATACAGGTATGTGGAGGCAACGCATGATACTGAGACTAATTTTGACCTGTTTTTGGGGACATTACATTATAGTTGAATCAGGCTGTAGTGCGATTTTCCACTTTAATTTTGTGTGTGACTACAAATCCAGGTCTCCAATGATTAATGAAATAAACTTTCACTGATGATTTATGTGTGATTTTGTTGTCAGTTCTTGCTACAGAACAAAGTATTCAATGAGTATATTTTATTCATTAGGATCTAGGATGTTTTATATGAGTGTTCCCTTTACTTTTTGAGCATTGTATATTGTCTATAGCTGGGTTGGATATACTTTTTTCATGGAGTGAATTACTTATGCTTCGGTGAACAGAAATTCTGGATTTTTTCTGTGCTTTAATCTTTTAAGAAGTACCAACAATGTTGTCAACTCTCTCCCTTACCCTACCCTATCTTCAAATAGCATCACAATTTTGTCAAAGCAAAAACATTCATCGGATTAATGAAGCAAATAGGGTTCACAAAAATGTTTTATGAGCTGATGGTTTATCTGGAAATGCCAATAGCTCTTTTAAAGAGTCAATAACCCATAAACTATTAACAAATTTAGACTTTCATACCAGTTAAAACATATAACAAACCTTCCTACCTCCTATAATATTAGCCTCTCTCCAATATTTCCTTCACAGATTGAAGACTTAATGTTATTTACTGACATTGTACAAGTTGTAGACCAAAATAATGAACACAAACAAGATATTTATGAAATGAAAAAAGGTATTTGAAATTTTTGTACTATTTATATATTGGTTAAAAAATAGGTCCCAACATGGCTTAATTGAGTACAGCTATTCCTCTGGCAGAAAAACATTTGTTCGGTTTTTCAGTGCCTTCTTTCATCTACCAGATGGCAGAAGTTCTAAAAGTAAGTGTCCTGGATGAGACAGGTCTCTGAATTTTTTAGTGTTCTTTTTTTAAGGCACCAGGCGTTGTCGAGTTCCTCTAGTAAAGAGAGAGGACATCTGATGATTTGTTGGACTGTGGTGACAGTTCTCTGGAGTGGTGCTAGAAGGACACCAGCAGCTTTTGCATAAGATGGTTGTGCCTCAGTATTCTCGAAAAAGTACAGTAGTTTATTCTGTACTTTCATGACAATGCTGGTGGTGTTGACAGTCCATGTCAGATTGTTCTCTGTCTTTAAACTCAGAAACTGGAAATTGGAGACCCTCTTCATGTAGTTCGAATTGATGGACAGAGCTAAAATGTTTCATCCTGAAGTCTGTGATCAGGTGCTTTGTATTTTGTAGTGTTTAGGATCAAGGTATTCTCTAAAGACAACAGTTTTAGCTGTTTCACCTCATCTCCCTAGGCAGAGCCATCAGTCCTGTAGAGCAGGCCTCCCCAACCTCAGTCCTCGAGGGCTGCTGTCCTGCATGTTTTAGAGGTTTCCTTGCTTCAGCACAGCTGATTTTAATTGAAAGCTGATTAACAGGCTTTTGGTATACTGCAATCATTATAATCAGCTGTGTTAACGCAGGGTAACCTCTAAAACCTGCAGGACAGCGGGCCTCGAGGACCGAGGTTGGGGATGCCTGCTGTAGAGGAGCCCCATCACATCACATTACATGTTGGGTGGGAGGGGGCACAGTCATAGGTGAACTGGGCTGTAGAGTTTGGCACTCAGCACACAGCCCTTGTGGAGATGTTTCTGAGACCAAATACTAAAGAGATACCCCCCTGCTGCAGAGCGAAGGGAGACTTAAAGTCCTTCGGAGACCTGTTAGCTCTGTGGTGGACTGATGGCGATCAAACATGGGCAGATTATTGGATTCATATGATCAGGATCTGGAAGGAGATACCCAAGTTCATTATCTGTGAACTCCCAAGGAACATGCTCTGATACTGTCAGGGATGCATACAAGCATATGGAGGTCACACAAACTACTGAGTGCCATTTTAAGTTGCTGTAAAGACATTTCTGAAAATTTGAATAGCCCGTTACATAAGGTTTTAACTTTCAACTGGCAACTTTGGAGTTAGCCCTCTGTGGGTTTATCATTTTTATTTCTATCAGCTAATGCAATTGTTCCTAACACATTACACATTCTATAATTGTATGGATATTCAACATGTGTTTTTTTTTTCCAATTAAAAATCTGATGGCTCTTCTGTGTGTTCTTTAGTTTTTTCAGTACTATATAAAATCAATGTTGTCTAACCTACTGTGATGCTGGATCCAGTCGATAAAGTCGGTCATACAATTGGGATTTTGCTACATACTATCCTTAACGAAGAACAAAACTACCCTGGTATATAATATATGTAACCAGCTTCCCCATGTGGTATGTTTGAAATCCAAAACAAGACACTTGAGAAAGGAATCAGCCATTTCCTTTTATAAAACCATAATGTTATTGACGATTCATTCTGTTGTACCTGGAGATTCCACACATCCACATTTAAAAATTGTAGATGTTTTATTCATGTATGAGTGTTTTAACACTCTCATATAAAAGTAAATGTATTTTATAAGAAGCATCTATCTAACAGAAGTCCTGTTTTAGTCTGGCCCCCACCCCAAAAGGGAAAAAATCAGAAAAACCTGAAAGATGTAATTTTTTAATTGAGCATCATGATTTTCCACAGTGAGGTAATGAGAAAATCATTTTAAAATTATAGTGCAAAATTGTATTTGTTAAATCTAAACGTATATTAATTTGCTAGTCAGTTTGAAAAACAGTAAAAGGTAACTGTTCTTCATTAATGACTTTTTTAGGCAATGTATTTAGTCTAATTGTTCACATTACTAACGTTAATGTAGCTTTATCACTGTAAAAATCACATGTATAAAGGCATCCGTAGACACTAAAACAGCAGCAGAGGTCAGCGCACTGACACATTTAATATAATTTAATTAAAATCTAAACACACATTTTACAAACAACAGAAGCTTTTCATATTAGGTGGTTATTTATTTTGAATCTGTGATTTCAAGCAATTAGGTCATACCAGTTTTTAAGTAAGCAAATATTTGTGTAGGTAAGTGCATTAATGCATACAATAACATTACTCAGAGCCTTACCAAAAAATTAAGAATTTAGCTGTAAAGCTGAAACAGTTTATGCATCTTTATCTCAATGTATGAATGTAAATCATTTGCTATAGAGCAAACATTTAAAAGGCAAAATGCCTTACAACAAAAGAAAGGAGTTTTTGGGGAAATAATGATATACAGATTCAAACCCAGTTAGTAAATTAGCATTTAGCACAAAAACAGTATAATTTAAGAAAGACAGATATTTTTCCAATCACACATATATACACTGAGAGACTTGTTAGTAAAACTCACCATTGCGCTTGGATAGTATTGATCTTTCAAAACTTCAAATCTAACTCTGTTAATTATAGTCTAGCTAAAGAAAATAAATTTCTTATGGAATTACAAAAATGAAACAAGACAGTTAAATTAAACATTAGTATCTGATCAGAATGTACTGTAGTTTATGCTCTGGTTCCTTATATCTGCACGTTTTGAAAGAAAGAATCCCGCTTGCTGCAGTCAAAAACAAAAGGACTACACTTTCTCGCCAAACAGGACACGATGTGGGGGAAATCTAGCATGTAAATTGCAGAAGTAAATGTTAAACAGTTTCATTTCCTCACTGCAACAACTTTAAATTAGTTCCCGTATAGTGGAGACAAGTGGCAAAAACTTCTGCGTTTTTTTTTTTTTTTTTTTTTTTTACTGTGCTACATTAGAATACCATGGTAATGGAACCAGGGAAGTGTGTTCATAACAATAAACCATCTTGACAAGGGAAGTTTTATTTTTACAGCGCTCTTCATTCACCATGAAATGCTTAACAAAAACATAAAGAATATGTTTGAACCATAACCTTTATACCTATGGTAAAACAGCTATTGCAATGAAATTGCTTTAATAGCCCAAACACTTCCACTGTGCTTGTGTTGTCTTCCTTGTTATTTCATGCTGAAGACTTTTGTATAAGCCTTGTTGTATATTATACGATTGTCTACTCTTAAAACATTTCTTAGGTTTTGCCAGAACCAAGGTTCAGCAGCTGCTGTTCTGGGCCACTCCACAACACTTTTCTCACACAGCCTCCTTCTTAGGCGCAGGAAGTGAGAATGCTGCAGGACAGGTTCCAGCATCAGCAACACAATCACATCCATATTTTCATCAAGCAGTCTCTGGTGGGCCAGATACAATGCCAGTTTGAACACCCCAGTCTTAACATAGCCCTTTGTCAGGACAAACACTGTTTTGCGACTATTTCTGATGCTCTGTGTTAGGTTATCCACTAGAGGCACTCCTGGGAGCCAGTCCCTCTCCTCCAAGCACAACGGAAGAAGTTTCTCTCCCTCCTCTTCTAATTTCACTCGTAGATTCATCATTACCCAATCAGATACACATGGATCTTTGGTGTCATAGGTTACAAAGACATCATAAATATTTTCCTGTGAGTACAATGATCTGTATCCCTTCAGTTTAGCCTTGATATAGTGCATGACATAGGTAGCATCCCAGTAGAACATGTGATCAACTGTTGCCACAAACATAAAGACAATAAGGAAGAAGGTTGTGAGAATGTACATTCTGAAGGCCTCATCGTCATTTACACATTGGTCAATATTAAAGTATATCAGTGGTTGGTTCCTGTCCTTTTCTGGTGTTTCACATCTTACATCAGTTGTCAGTCTTGGAATATTTACCTCTCTTTTTCCAATCCATACGATGAAATCCAAAGAATCACATGTACATTGAAATGGGTTTCTCTGCAAAAACAAAGTCTTAAGATTCTCAGGTTTTGGTTGGAAGGTGGACTGATTGATGATATTTAGTTTGTTGGAGCTGAGGCTCAGAGTCTCAAGGGTTTTAATGCCACTGAAGAATGACTTTCCCAAGTGAAAAATGAGATTGTTAGTCAGATCAAGAACAGTCAAAGAGAAGCTAGTTGCTTTTTTAACACCGGCTATATTGGACAAGGAATTGTGGCTCAGGTCTAAAATTCTAAGGTGAGGGAAGTAAGATAGACTGTCCCATAAAAAATCTGTCATTTTGTTGTGACTGATGCGTAGTTCTGTCAGGTTCCGAGGAAGCTTTTCATAAACATCGAGAGGAATATGTTTAATATTGTTCCAGGATATATCTAGAACTGTCAAATTCTTTAGGTTGGTAAAAAGAGTCTTATAGGAGTTCTCTCCTTCTTTCCAAAGAGTTCCAAGCTTGTTGTGTGTAAACTGTAGTTCTGCTAAAGAACTGCTGTGCATCTGTTTGGTTGTTAATGTTGAAATTGAATTATGGCTCATATTAAGTACCCTCAGGACAGGTAGGTTTTTTAGGAAATGTAAATTTTTAGTTATTCCATATGCCATAAAATAGTGGGAATTCCAACTGAGGTCTAATACCTGTAATTTCTTCAGTTCCTGAAAAGCATAATCATAAGCTAGATTGATTTTATTGAAGGACAAGTCCAAGTAGGTCAAATTAGGCAGTAATGAGAACTCTGTGCCATTAAGTGCTGCAGAGAATCCATTCCCTGATAGATTCAGACAGGCGATATCCCCATAACCTTCAAACTGCTTTTGAGAAATGAAGAACAAATTATTTGAACTAAGAATTAGAACTCGTCCAGAATTAAAACACTGTTGCTTTATAAGACCATGAGATAACTCAAATACAGGGTCTTTAGGCGGAAGTTTTATAAATGAAGAAATCGAAAAATCTGCTTGTTGAGTGTATCCATTTTCTGAGCTGGAAGGATTTATATTTGGAGTAGGACTGAGCCTGTTTTCTGCCATGTAAATTACTTTCAAGAAATTAAACTTCCTGAATACAGTTGAATTACAGCAAATAATAAAGTTAGTCCCCAAATTCAGGGCTGATAGATTTTTAAGTCCATAGAGACTCTTGAGTGTGTCTGGTTCAATGTTCTGGAAGACCAACCCCTCCATATGCAAGGTTCTTAATGAATGAAGTTTTGAAAACTCATTTGAAAGATTAATGGTTTTAGGATAATGTTTTAAAGCATAATTGAAAGAAATATCGATAACTTTGAGCCTTGGGAGGTATTGCAGGAATTCAGCCTTTTCAGTAAATTCACTGAGTAAAAAGTTAAATGAAAGGAGCAGATGTTTCAGCTTCCTTAGGTTCTTAAACCACAATGGATTCAGATATTCCAGAGAGTTTCCTCCCATGTTGAGTTCCTCAAGTTGTGACAGATTTTCAAATGCATCAGGGTCAATTTGAAGTGAACGTTTAGGGCAGGGTATACATGGAAAAGGAGCATTTTCACATCTGGGGCAGTTTCCTTGTATTTTAAGGAGTTTCAACTGGTTTAAACCAAACAATTCTTCCTTTGATATGTGCTGTATTCTGTTACAACTCACATTAAGCATTGTCAAAGACTCCGGTAGGCCTTTTGGAACATGGCTTAAGTTGTTATAAGACAGATCCAGATCTTGCAGTTTGGACATGTGGGTAAAACAGTTTTCTGAGATGTTAAAATATTTTCCACATGGATTCCAGTAGTAGCAGTTATTAGATAACCAGAGTTGTTTCAGGTTTGGTAAACCAGCAAAGCTCCTGTCTCTAAGAAATGTGATGTTGTTGTTTTTCAGCTCAAGGATTTCCACACTTTCAGGGAGGTTGTTTGGAATTTCATCAAAACCATTACCAGCCAACCTCAACTCATGCAGTTTTGTTAGGCTCTTGAGATTTGCCTTAAATATCACTTTCTTCTTCAGGTTTGCACAGTTGAGATTAAGCCAAGTCAGATTCAGCAGACCTGAAAATGCGTCAGCTTTAATTGTCTTCAAGGAATTTTCCGATAAATCAAGGGCAGTAACATTGTTAGTTATCCCTTTAGGTACCTTCTCTAGAGCTCGAGCACTACAGTCAAATCGGACTGAAGAAATATTAGGCTCCATCACATCACACAGGAACTTTGCACTCCAGCGAGTTTTGCAGACAGAAGGTTGGATCTCCAGCATGCAGTATAGACCAATGAGAAAAAGATGAATCCAGCACTTTGCTGTCTGAAAGAAAAAAATAATAAAGTCACTACAATAAATTTCCCTGTTATACTTTTGAAACTGTTCAACAAAATACAAAAAGAACAACAAAAGTTATCACCTCATTGAGCTGTTTTACCTAGGGCCTCATTTATAGAATGTGCCTATGCACAAAAATCCTGCGGTGCAGTGTTTTACACACAACTTGGGAAGTATAAAAAAGTATAACACGAAACTGTGATGCAATCCACACTTCCATAACATATTTTCATTGGAAAACAATATCAAACTATGGAGGACTAAAACTTATTTAAGTTGTCTCACATTTAACTGTATCAAGTCAAGGAGGATTGAGCTAGATGTTTTCTTATTTTTTTTTGTTTTATGATTTAAACCCAACAGGTGAGACTGAATCGCATTCATCTGCCCACATTAATGTACCACCACTCTTGGAAAATCTACAAAAACATATATTCAGATGTGAAGTGGAAATGTTCGCTGTATTTGTTATCTCTAGACATACGTTCACATTGACCTACGTGCATACAATGTATAGAATGTATGGTATCATCCGTGTGACAGTTTCAGTCTAACTGAGAATAAATGGTTGATGGATCTTAGGATTAATTCCTAAAGCCTCTGTCACACCTTGACGAGTTAGCCAGCATATGCCTAACGTATAAAAAAACTGTTGAAAATGCTGGCATAAGTTGGATAAGTTATCGGTTAGTTTTGTTTAAGTTATGAGCACGCTGAAGCATGCAGAGACACGTCACATATGGTGAGTACGCAAGTACATCCCAACGTACGCCAGCGTATGCTCTTACCTGGGGCATAGGTTACAGGTAAGTTATTTGATAATTGACATATGCTAAGTCTAAGTTACTCATAAGTCGTGGTGTCTAGCTTTTCCAAAAATTGAGTAACTGGTGCATAACTTATGCGTAACTTTTCAAGAACCCATCTCTAACACATATTAACATATTTGACATGTTCCAGATGACTGCTGGACGTGTTTCTACTGTATGATGATGTATTGGCAGCATTTTGGCATATGTTGGGGTTCACAGGAGGACAGCGTTAGTACTCCTCTGGACATCATCCCCATCATAGGGTGAGTGAGAAGGTGAGTGTGTTGGATCCTACCTGCGTTCACGACCACAGCCACGACCAACAAACTCCCTAGCAGACATGATGCTGAATCTGCTGCTACTGCATACCTTCTTTCTTTCTTTTTCTTTTTTCTGTTGTATTTATTTATTTATTCCCTTTTTTTGGGAGGTGGTAAACAGCAGCTAGGTTAATACCGCAATAATATTAATCTTTTTATGCAGTCTGTGCGCCTCTGGGCACATTGCTGCCCCCCTCTGGACACTGGCTTGTGTCATTTCATGGGCATTACGCTACAGTGCATTATGCATGAGATGGGCTGTCGTTGGACATAAGTTCTGTCCCAAAATTGAAAAAATACATAGAACGTTCAGCATATGCCAGTGTTTTAGAACATTCTTGGACATCAGGCATGCACTGGCTAAATCGTCAAGGTGTTACAGGGGCTTTAAGTTATGTGTGATGATTCGCAAGGTGGACAAGGTGATCACGACTAACACATACTGTATGTCCCTAAATAGCTGATTATAGAAATGTGCATAACTCTGAAACAATCACATCTTTGTCACTGTTGGAAGGAAACGTTCAATGTAATGATTAGGAGGGAGCCTGTTTTTTCAGACATTCTATTCACTTGCTTGAATGTGACGATAAGTGGTGAATTAACCAGATTAAAAAATAAGAAGAAATGCCTTAAAAAAGGTGTATTTGCTCTTAATATAATCAGGTAAAATAGATGATCTGCGAGTGGAATGACTGTTTCTGCCCTTAAGACAGATAATTAGATTTTATGCCCCTGAAATAAGATAATGGACTTTTTATCCTAATTTAAACAGAAATTATCTTATTCCATTTGTGAATGGAATGGAAGTGAACATACTTTTATTTCAATACATTTTTTTTGAATATTTTATTTTGCAGTGTTTGCAAACATCCTGGAGCTGTGGAATGAACGTGTATGGCGACGAAGAAGAAGCTTCACTAGGACAGGCTGCATTTCTGACTACCCTGTTCTTTGCAACCAGAGCCTTTTAAAGGGAACTTAATGGCAGTTTGGTTATTTTCCTATCATGCCTGAGCCATCCATTGGCAATTCGTTGATTTGTCAAGCTAAAGCTGCTAACCACTGGAGAGTTCCAGCACCCGCAAACGCTAGGCAGGAAAGTTTAGCTCTCCACCGCAGACCTGACTATGAGGGTGGATAGTAGGAAGTTGGTACGTCATGTTATTGGGACATTTCTCATCACTAAAGTGATGAACCCGGTGGCCATCCACCTCCAGCTCCCTCCTTCTATGAGGATACATCCTACTTCTCATTGTCCCAGGATAAACCTGTTGTAACTGCTAGGTTCTGATCTTTTGCCTGAACCTTTCTTTGGACTCCTGCTGGATACTACCGGTAAACTCAACCTGGATCTGATTTCTGAGTTTGACCTGGAATTGTCCCCGGTCAGATTTACGTGGTCACTAACCTGAGTTTTCCCTCTGCAGAAATTCCGGCCTTAGCTGATAAATTGCAGATCCAGTGTTTCTCAATAAATGCTTTTAAGTATGACTGTCTGTTTGCTTTGAATTCTTGGTCCTCTGTTCCGATCCCTGACACTGAAACCAAACAGAGTTTAAGGATAACAGCAGCCTTCTATACAACCCTTCACTACAAAAGGAAAAAGAGGTTGGGCTCAGTAAGCCAGCCTTAATGCACATAATCAGGAATCTATTGCTGCAAAAACACCTATGCTATATTCTGAGATAAAAAGTACGATCAGGGTGTGGTCCTAGCCATTTTAAGGTCTATGAGAACATATTCTGTGTGATACCCCCCAACTTGAAACAAAAATTTTTCTTTTACTTCTTTAGTTCTAAAATAATGCTTTGAAAACATGTGGAAAAGAAAATCTTGAGAAATTAAAATCTTCCAAAAAAAGAAAAAGAAAAAAAGAAAGCACCAGTAATGATGCATATACTTTCATAATTGTGTTGTGTTGGGAAAAAAAAAGTACAATTAAAACAAGGCTACATTTTGGAGTGCTGATGGTCAAATGTCAAATAAAGTAAGCGAGAGCGACTCCCCCCCGATGTCATCATTTTTCTGTTTCTGGTCTGTTAGGAGACACACACCGGTCGTCGTTGGAGAAGTCTAATTTTTGCGGGTAAAAACAGGCTGATATCTGCCTACATTTCACAGGGAACCTAATGTAGCAACAATATGTATGATTTTTCACAAAAAATGATGCATCCCCCTAGGTGAAATAATATGTATATAATATAGTTTTATTAAAAGTATTGTCCATTATTTTATCTGGTAAAAAAAAAGTAAAAAAAAAAGTCCATTTACTTTTTGAGCAACTGAGCATGCACAAACCATCCTACCTGTTTTGCTTTCAAAACAGTTTACCAAATACACCCTGGTTATCCTCTTCTTTGCATTAAATCATTAGACAGTTTGCCTCTTGTGACTCTCAGACATATTCAAAGAATATGGTGAGAGCAGTTGAGATATTAAAAAAGCTAACTGGATATTTAATACTTAAACTTGAGATGTGCATGCGCAGCAAGTATATGTTTATTAGCTTTTTGCCTTTTAGTACCCCCCTAGAACTAAAAGGCAAAAGAAAATTGTCCATTATATCTTTAAATAAGACAGCATAGGTATAAGTACAGCCTAGTCTATCTCCGGTGATTTATTTCGAAATTATAGATGTAATTGTTATTTTAACTGTTAGTGAAGTTGGATTATTGCGCCTAAACTTTTTGGGTCACCCCTCAGTCGCTGCCTGGTCACCTCTATGACGATTGTTGGCTATGCTGCTGGGCATTTCAATATTGTTCTTACATTCCTTGTTTTTTTCCATTTAAGTCTGAGCTGTTTTTATAGTTGTCAAATCAAGGTCATAAAAACATTTCCTCAAGTATAAAGTTTATTAAATTTATTCAGGTAATTTTCTAAAACCTGACTTCAATGCTTCTAAAAAGACATATAAGACTCCTATAATAATAATTGTAATAATTATTAATATTTGTGAATGTATACATAATCATTGTTTCTTAGTACTCAAATATTTCTCTGGGTCTCAATGGGAAATAAACACTGGATTTAGAATGTTAAAGCACACTTGAAAACCACAAATTACTTTATTCTTTAAATGGTGGATGCTGCGATTCAAATTGAAAATGATTAATATACGGTAAACCAAATATCCATAACACAGAATCAAATAAAGTCTAATTATTCAATTAGATAATGAAAACAATGCTGAAATCACAAAAGTTAAGCATTGCAAAAAACATTATTTCTCTTATAATGGGTACAAAGAAAATTGTAAAGGAAAACTCACCATTGTACATGCTAGATTAAACCCACAACGCACACAAAATCCTTGAGCATCTAAATCTAGCACATTAAAATCTTTCAGATCTAAAAGGTATCTGTCAATGATACCTACAAGAATAATTTACTACTTTTTCTTCTACTTTTCAGTCACATTCTATGAAAAAATATTAAAGAAGTACACTGAAATGTGCTCAGCAAGACTGAACATGACAGAAAAAGCACATGAATTGCAGAACTGTAACTGTACACGTTGGTCATTTCCTTGCTCACAACCTTATCAAGTAAAACCATTTTTAGAATCATGTGTTATAACACAAAAAAAGGCTGCAGTTCATGTTTCCAGTAATGCAAAATGTAGATAGCATAAATGTCTTTTTGTAAGCAGTATAACTTTAAAACATTAAAAATAGTTTATTGAGATTGATTGCAATTTTAATTGATGTCAGTTGTAAAAAAAAAAAAAAAAAAAAAAACAACTTCCTGTTTATTTACAAACATATTGCAAAATGCATGTAAAAAAATTCCTGGCTTATTTTTTTTGTAACAATACGTCTATGTAACCTACAATACATGTATATTATGAAGTCTTCAGAGAATTTCTTTGAAGAGATTGCTATATTGTTTGTGGCTCTCAGTAGCTAATACACTCCTGAGTCTGAACCAGAAGTATGGTTGTGCCTGAGGGTTTGTTGGCCACTCGAGCACAGACCGCTTGTACAGTCTTTTTCGTAAGCGGAGATACCTTGAATTGCAAGACACCTTTTGTAAAAAAATCAAAATGATGACATCATTTTTTTCATCCATTAGTCTTTGATGGGCCATGTAGAATGCTGTCCTAAAATGACCCTCTTTGATGTATTGTTTTGTCAGAATGAATACAGTTCTTTTGCTCTTGTGGATGCTCTGCGAGAGGTTGTCAATCAGTGGACAACCAGGGACCCAGTCTCGCTCCTCCAAACACAGGGTCAATCGGTGGTCTCCGTGTTCCTCTAAATGAGGGCACATCTCCTTCATCACCCACTCTGATACTGCAGGATCATTTTTGTCATACATCACAAAGGCGTCGTAGACTTCATTTTGAGAATGCAGGCGTAAATAACCCTTGAGCTTGGCCCTGCAGAAGTGATAAATGTACCAGACATCCCATAGGAAGAGATGACTAGAGATGGACAGAGTAAGAAAGCCAAGGAGTAGGGAGGTCATGAGAGTGTAAAGGATGATTGACATGAGGGAGTGCTGGCAGGCCTGTAGGTCCACTGAGACCACAAGATGACCTTTCTGTACTCCAGGAGAAGCACAGCTAACATCTATTCCCAGGCGGGGGATGGTTACGTTAGTCTTGTTTAGCCAAGTGATGAACCACGAGGCATTACATGTGCACATGTAATTGTTTTTGTGCAGAAGCAACATGTCCATTTGCTTAATGACTTCATCATGGAAGCTGGATTGCTCAATGTACCTTATAAGATTATAGCTAAGATCCAGATATTTTAAATTAAAAGCATCTTGGAGGAAATTGGGTGTAAGTTTTTTGATTTTGTTGTCATGTAAAATAAGTTTCTCAAGTGATGAGGTACAGTTTGACAGCATTCTTGGCACAGAGGTAAGGTAATTTCCACTGAGGTCTAATACTTTTAGATCGTGCAAAAGTTGGAGTTCCCCCCATGCAAAAAAGGACAATTTGTTCTTTTTAATGTAGAGATCAGAAAGCTTGTCTGGCAATCCTCTGAAGACTTCTCGTTGAACTGATCGAAGGTTGTTTGAAGAGATGTCAAGCACTCTCAGATTAACCAACTTTTTGAAGTAGTTGATGTACCTTGTGTCTCCATCTCTCCATAGCATATCCAGCCTATTTCCTCTGAACTCTAACCTCTCTAAAGATTCACTTTCCATTTCTGTGTTGGTGGAAGTAGAAATCTTATTGTGATTCATCAAGAGTATTTTGAGTTTTGGTAAATTCTTAGTAAAATTGAGCATATGAGTCAACCCCTCTGACTCAAAGTAATGATTATTTTTACTTATATCCAATATGACTAGATTTTTTAGCTCTTTGAATGCAGTGAAGTAAAGTAGGTCCAGCCGATTTGATGAGAAGTCCAGGTACTGCAAATTAGTCAGATTGCTAAACTCAGTTCCATTCAGGCTTTGGCTCATTGCATTTCCAGATAGATTGAGGCACCTTAACTCCTTAAGATTTAAAAACCTTGAATGCAAAAAAAATATGTTGTTTCTGCTCACATCTAATGTTTTGCCGAACTTGCTGCATTCCTTCTTGACAAATAAAGTAACGATTCCAAGTTCCTTATCTTTATATTTACAGCTGCGAGCATATTCATCATATCTGAAGTAATGAATCTCTCTCACTTCCTTGTTTTTGAACTGATCAGCAGCTGACATGGGGGACCATTGCATGGGCTCACCACCATTAAAACTAAACACATTTTGAGAATCAGAAGGGGAAGATATTTTGTTATCAGATAAGCTGATTATTTGAAAGCTTTTTAACTCCATCAGAATGCTGAGGTTAGCCATTTTGATAAAGTTCGTGCCAAGATCTACAACCTCTAAATTTAGTAGAGGTTTTAAAGGAGCGATGCTCTCTGGCTTTAGTTGCTGAAACACATAGCCTTTTATCCTGAGAATTTTGAGAGACTTGAGGGAGGCAAAACTGTCGCTCAGTCTCAGAGTTTCAGGATACCTCTGGAGCTCGTAGTTAAAAGACAGGTCCAATTCTTCTAGCTTGCCCAAGGACAGAGGAAAGGTGGTGGATCCAATATCTCTGGCTAAAAAGTTTGATGAGAGGTCAAGCACTCTCAAATCCTTTGGACTAGTAAACCATTCAGGCAGCACGGATGTCAGGGAGTTACTGTGCAAACGTAATGTTTTCAGTTTTGTCAACAATTTAAAAGCTCCCTTACTGATTTGTAGTGGACTGTTGTTTGGGCACGGGGTGCATGGAAAAGGGGCGTTGTAACACCGTGGACAATTTCCACTAATATCTAAAATCTCAAGGTTTGTCAAGTTTTCAAAATCCTGATCAGAGATCTTTTGAATGTTGTTATTGTATAGATATAACTCTTTTAGACTTGCAGGCAATCTATGTGGAATAAAGGATAAGTTGTTTGACTTAAGAGACAATATTGATAAGTTTTCCATTTTTGAGAATGAACCGTCTTCTATATAGTAAGAAACATTACAGGGGTTGCGATAATAGCAGTTTTGTCCCAAGTAAAGTACCTGAACATGTTGGATCTCCGAAAGATTTTCATTAGAAATGTGGAAAATATGATTTACTTCCAAACTCAATAGGACAAGATTTGATGGCAAGCCTCTAGGAATGCTGTCAAGTTGATTCCCATCTAGATAGAGTGCTCGCAAATTCCTTAGTGCAGTAAAGGTATCCTCCTTAATTGTCAAACTCTTTGTGCACATGTTGTCCTTTGGGCCGATTTTGATGGGTACACAGTTGCACCTCATGTCAATTTCTGTTAGGTTGTCAAGACCCTGAAAGGAGGTCGAGTTCAAGTTTGGAATATGGTTGATGGTGAGAGTCAGATTGGTAGTCTCTCCTGGGATGGCGATGGGAACTTCCTTGAGATACCTTTCAGTGCAATCCACTTTCACCGCAGTCCCATTGTCGACCTCGCTAACATCGCATGGTAGAGTTTTTGGGTAAGAGATGTTCCCTGTTGTTTCCACGTAATATGAGCCTAAGCCCAGCAGGGCTGCACAAATCTGTACAAAAACAGGGGATTTCATGAGACACATACAAAGTGCTAATTATGCATGGATATTTCAAACATTTTAAAACACATTAAAAAGCATAGAAAGCATTTTCAACATTCTATGTGTTTCATTTCAGTAAATATATTCCTATAAAGCATATTACATAGGTCTTTATACACAAAAGTATATTTCAACCATTAGTTTGTGTTCATTTTCCAAAAATGCTGCATGAGATGGTGGCATTCAGCTTGTTTATTTACTGAGAGGTTCATTAAGCTAAGGTTGAGTTAAAATTAATCTTAAATGAATATTTCATTCTTTTGTCCTCCTCATAGAAAAACTAGATCTAGCTGCAGTCTATACTGTAATTGTCAATAAACTTTGGGCTTATATTGACAATCTTTCTAAAGGTTGTTTTTATCGTTGTTTATTAAGACATTTTTTTTCCTTTCACTCACCACTCTGTCAATATGTTTGTATCCAGAGTCTTTTGAAAAGACTGCTTTAAAAAAAAAAAAATGAATACAAAATTTTCCAGCAGTCATCTGGCGGATAAAAGTTTGGCCAGATGTCTCCACTATAATTGCAAAATATAACAATTTATCAGCTATAAGCCAACATGATAAGTGTTAACAGAAATAAATGCTTGAAATATACTCTGTCTAATGACTCCATGTTACAAAATGTGTTGCACTCCAGAATCATATGATTGAAACATTTATTTTTAATTCATACTTTATTAATGTATTGAGTCATATCTTTGCAAAATTACATTCCTAATCTAATCGAAAAGAGTTCAGCTCTATATAGAATATATCTGATTATTCAAGAATTGTTGTTTACTCACCAGGTGGAGGGACATTATTTTTGTCAGAATATGTGACAAAGTCCTTCTGCTTTGGTTAATGCAAGAATAATACTGAAAGAGCTGCTCTGCTGTCAGCTCAAGAAAACACATGAAACTAGCAGGTGGCTGTGTAAACCAATTATGTGTATAATTGACCAGCATCACTTCCCTATTGTTCTAGTGGTGGGTAGAGCACCCAAAAATCATACACAAGTAAAAGTAACACTATTTCATTTTTTTTTTTTACTTAAATAAGAGTAAAAAGTAGCCATCCAATAATTATTGATGTAGTAAAAAATTATTTTATAAAGAGTCTACTCGGGTAGTGAATAACTCATCATTAGATCTTATGTTTAAAACTACATAATAAAGACGTGCCAATATGTAAATTGAAGTACAAATTTTGGTATTTAAAGTAGTTTTATAAAATAAATAAAAGAAAACAAATTATGCAATTGGAAACTAACAATTTCAGGCAAAAATACATTTTTCCCAACCCATAAACATTTCAGTATAAAACCTATGAAACCAGAACCTTAAGTAACAATATTTACTTCTTTCTGTATATTAGCTTGAGCTTTAAATCTCTTGCTAGGTTCAATCAAGCATTTGTTTAAAAAACACAGTCTGAAGAACCTTTTTTAAATTAAATTTATGTTATTTAGTGAAGTTAATTTGGATTTATGGAGTAGGCAAACAATTTACTTAAGTAAGAGTTGCAATATTTCATTCAGATCTTATTCAAGATAAGGTATAAAGTAGAGGGCAATAAGAATACATCTAATAGTATATTTTGTTCAAAAGTTACTAAAGTACAGTAAATGTAAGTAGGTACTACCCACCTGCACCTCACACATCAAAATTATTCATCTTCTACCATAGTGGATTTGTTTCTCTTCTTTTTTTTTTGTAAACATCTATGGAGATCATAAACATATATTCTAATTATAATATGGGGTTAAAGAATTTGAGAATCTTTCTCAAGCTATACAATATAATGGCACAGTAATGCCTCCAAAAGATTGGTTTCATTTCTCTGAAAGTTACAAGGGAAAGTGAAATCTAGGGTTGAGCTTTGGGTATAAAATTTACATTTCAAAGCTGCAACATCTTTTTTTTTGTCATTTGTGGCTCCTTTGTGGCTTCAAGGCTGAGCGACCTACATGCTCACCTGTTCACATAGTGTGCATGACAGATCCTCAGCCAAATGCAGAAAGCCACAGAAAACTGTCTCTTATTGGACTCTTTGCTCAATATTAGACAGAACAAATATATTAAAGAGAGAAAGTCAATTCAAGTTCTTTTACTATAGAAGACATAGTGAGCTAAATCTAAGCTGGACTTTTTTGTGCACCTAACTGTCTTTTCTGCATATAATAACTTGGTAAACCCATTGCTAGATACTTAGAGAGTTGTTTAATTATTTTGGTTAAAAAAAACAAAAAAGCAACAAAAAGAGAACAAAACAAATATTAAAAAAATAAAAAACAATTGAATACTTGTGTTTCTTGGTATTTAGTTTTATATTTTAAAGCTACAGTGTGTAATTTTCAGCGACATCTAACGTCTAGACTGCAGACCGCAGCAACATGAACATCTCCCCCCCACCGCTTCTCCCCCCAGACAGTACGGGGAGCGTTACGGGAAAAAATGTCTTCCACGACGTCCGCATCACCTACCTTCTCAAGTGATGAGGTTTGTTTACATAGATAATTTTACAGATAGTATTTCATTAGTCTGTGTAGGGTATATATTTCATGTAGACTTAAACAACTTGCTGTAGTTACTTTCGAGCGTAATGGGCGATCTCGCAATCGCTAGTTTGTTGGCTCTGCGCTGCCGTAGCGCAAAGATGTCTGCCTCCATGGCTGCGAGACCCGCTCCTATGTAATTATAAATAACGAATTCTAAGGCAACGCAAATATTAAGGTCAAGAGGCTGAGCTCGTAGATGATGATAAATAACATAGTTATGTATAATATATTACATTTCTGACTGTATAGCCCTGTAATTATTACACACTGTAGCTTTAATTTGAGTACTACAAAATGCCCTACATAAGTCACATAGATAAAAATAACATTGTTCTGATTTTTATACAATTATGAACTTTAATAACTTTGCAACAAACTCATAAAAGTACTAAATGAAATGAATCTATGTTAAACTTTCCACTTTGAGCCAAAAACCTTTTAACGTTTCAGAGAATAATGTTGTATACATTGTTCTCTACATAGCTGCTCTACATAACTCTTGGCTTATATAAATCTATAGTGGCTGGAGTCTTAACCTAATGGGAACAATATGTTGTTTTTGTTGTTGCTGTTTTTTGTTTTCTGCATTCATATGAAATAATTTCTTGGGAATTTTTTATGTCATTAATTGTATTAGACACATGCACATACAGATATATATTAAGTTTATAACATTTAACATTATGAGGGGAATATCTCTATCAGCACACTTGAATCACCAGAATAGGTTGACAGCAGAACTCTGGAACTTAAAATCATGAGATGTCTTGGACTTGAAACCATCAGCGTCGGCAGACCCTTTTCACAGGGGCATGTGCCCTGTTATGGATCTGCGGTGCCTGGGTATGCCTGGGGCACTGATTTTTTAATTAATTAATTTTCCGCTTTCACAGCTCCACTCCACTTGAGAGAGGCGAACTCTCCAAAATAAGCCAGTCACAATTGAAGGACAGCTTTGCAAAAATGAAGCCCGCCCGGGATGCTACCATTTACTGTTAAAAAAAATGAACATCCAGCTGTCCCATATTTCTGGCCCTGATATACACACCTCATAGGATCATCCCCATCACGCCATCATAGGATGGGCCCAAATAGAAATGATAAATGCAGACATGTATGTATGTAGAGGTGTTTTTTGTTTTTCCTTTTACAGTTGCACATTTCAAGTTTTCAGGTTTCAAGTTCATGTTTGCTGACAGTTATTTAATGATGATAAATTGTGCCTTCATCAGTAGTACCGGTAGATTAGAGATATACAATTAAGTTCACAAGTGGGCAATTTCAATTCAGTTTGGCTCAGGTAGATATTTAATGATGCAGAAAATAACAGTCTGATTGTACAATTTATTTATGACGCTTTATAATAATAAATAAGTGCTATAAAATATTTGCTCGTGTGCTTGCATTAATTTTCTGTGCCCCCCAAAAAATTTTTGCTCGCAGGCCTTGCTCACACTCATTTTTTTTGGTGCCCTATTGTGCCCCTGTATAGTATTGAGTCAGCTCACCCCCCTGCTTGAAACACATGAAAAAAGTTGCAGGACATGTGCCATGGAAGGATGGAGTTTTAAACCCCTGAAAATTTTGAGTAATTTCCTGAAAAACAAGGACAGCAATGCAAAAAAGTGCTATTGGTGAAAAAAAAAAGCTGCATTATCTTAAATTGTTACATTTTAGTTTTAATTTTAAATCTGACCTCTGCACAGATCAAAGCTGCTTTACTTGTTCCTTTCTCATTGAGCTTTTCATGTTAACCCCCATTTACCTTGTAAATAATAAATGGTGTGTCTGTAACCACCCAATGCAAACCTGACAAATGTTTCTATTGACTGCTAATGACTTACCATTTAACCACTGATGATGGTTGACATGGCTGCGGTATTAGTCTTTTTCAGACTAGCCATTCATTTAAAACTTCAACAACAATAATATGGTTTAATGTTACATGAAGATAAAAAAAAAATATATTTACTACAGGTTTTCCATGTACCCTCATTTGATACCCTGAGCCACTGCTCATGGGTCATGATTGGCATATTATTATATTAGTTAGTTTGTGACTTACAGCTATATTTCTGCAGCCTGACACACTCTGACTGGGTGTTGCCTTATTTATCTCTTGATTTTGCTTTCTGAAATGTTTCTCTTTGCAACAGACTCATGCAAGTTGAAACAGACCATCATCATTATTAATGCAAATGCATTACCACCACTCAGACTTGAGCGATTTCTAAAATCTTGAATTATTAAACCTAGTTGCTAAACTTGGGTGTTTAAAAAAAAAAAAAGGAAAACTCACTCACAGAGAATGCAGTTTTTCAAACAGCCTATATAACAACAAAACTTCAAAAATGTGTAATTTGTGTGCGTCACTTTAAAACTGCAACAAGAAAATATGAAACCAGACCAAAAAATAGTAAAACACAAATTGACAACAATAAATGAGAGAATACTTTTAAAAGTTTTAACTTCTTTAATGATGTTGACAAAAATACAGGAAAATATTCATGTGTAAAATATTAATTAAATCAAGTGACTCAACAAATATGTATGCAGGTCTGTAATTTTATAACATCTTGTCCTGTGCAATGAATTGTCTAAAACTTGATATACAGTAGTTTATTTCTCCAACACAATTTACTGTATATTTTTTTACAGTTTATAAAGAAGGTGCTTTTCAGGTTGAAATAATTTACATCTTGATCTTCTAAAGAAATAAATATATCAATAAAATAATCCTTGCTATGTATTATCTGAGAATATATTTTAGGGGAAAGTCATATTATACTCCTTAATAGAGGGCTAGATATAATCTCTTTAAAACTTATGTTGCTATAATTAATTTTCCTCTGTAGATAACAAAACATTGTATACACAAGGCAAGATTTTATTCACAGCAGTTCACATTGGTTGGTAAACCCATGTCTCTTATGTATGGCTTAAAACTCAACAATCATAACACAGTAACAGTTTTTTTGTTGAGCAGTGATTTCAGTGAGATAGTTAGTGTGTTTATAACAAAAGACATGGTGGCCGAGTAATGTATTAATGCATTCACATTTTGGTCACCAGGAGACCCTCCCGCGGCTGTCTCAGCAGCTTTTAGCAAATATATGTAGTTAATGATGACCTCGTCCACCTTTGCCACCACTTCCTTGCGTATATTTTCAGTGCTTAGGCCCTCCACCAGTGACATGCAGGCTTGTGCTAAGCAGCACAGTGTGTGGAAGCTGTGGGTCAGAGTGAGGAGCAGCTCCTCAGGGCTGCTGTACTCTGTGGCCATCTGACTGCAGGCACCATTTAGTACTCTGGCCTGCGCAAGCAGCACCTGGGACAGTGTCTCCGTGTTGGTCTCACCAACCTCCGACATGTCGAAAGACTTGTTTCTGACACTGCAGTGCAACACATTAATCATTTCTAAGGCATCCTTCCGTGCAAGTGCAAACCCTGTATGAAAGCTGTAAGTTTTTCCCTTCATGGATTGTATATAAGCAAGCCTGTCTTTGAAACTCATTTCATTTAAGCATGTGGGTATGTTGGTTTGATCAGTGTTAAGTCCTGCTTCCTCGACTGGTTTTTCCTGGTCACTGAAGGAAGTCACGCTACTAGGGAGCATGATTTCTGAATACATCTCCTTATCTTTATAATTACTTTGAAGAGTGGGCTTTCTCCTAAGGAAGCAGTGACTAAATGACCCATGGCACCTCGCTGTTCCACCTGGTATTGGAGCCAATGATTCTGACTCCAACAGTGAGGCTCCGGTTAACAGTCCTCTTCCAGTTGAATCAAAGCTGACTGAAGCCTGGGACAAGCTTTTAGGTAAGGTTTTGGCAGAAAATGCCCTTTTCACTTTTGGGGACTCTGGAAACTGCACATTCTGACCAACAGTCTTTCCAGTAAGTGTGGCTTTGGTCATTTCCTTTAGTGTTTCGAAGCTCCTGGAACCCGGCATTAACGTGCTCCAGCTCCTCCTGAGCATCCGAACCTTGTGCAGCTTCCTGAGGCTGCTTGATGTTGGGCTGCTTGGAGATGGTTCAGGCTCAAGGCTGGCCAGTGTTACCTCAACAGGCTCCGTGCTACTTCGTAATGATGACGGTGACATGATTGTGGAGGTGGTACTGGTCTTATCACAGATAAAGAAAGATGAGTCTTTCCCAGCCTTCTTCAGCTGTGTGCAAGCTACACTAGGGGTATTAGAAAAAAAGAGAATTGTTAAATATCTCCCTGCAGCAGTCAAACATTCCTTTTTCTGCATATGATAAGATTATCATAAACAAAAGAGATAATAGACTATATAATAATTGTTTTATAATAGCCACCAAGGACATCACCTTGCTTATCAGGGCAATACACAAACACCAATAATTTTTATTAAGTATACCTGTTCAGTTGCAGACTAACAAAAGCAGCAAATTAGACAATCGTATGCCGACCAGTGGCAGGCCTTGATTGATTAATGTTTCTTGCAAAGCCCTCTTAAAAATTTAAAGCAGAACTGACAGAAAATGTATATTTTTTTCTGTCAATACAGAAGATTTATGTGACTTATGATTTCTGTTTAACTTGACAAATAAACCACAAGTGATGATAACTCACATAGCAGTACACAAAAATTCACATACAGCTAACATACTCTATGAAGTTGCTCTTCCACTATTTTGACAGATTAAACAAAGATACTATGTAAATGTTTTAAACAACTATTAGATTTTTAATGCAGAACAACATGAACCACAGGAAACATGTTTGTTGATCTGTTTGTACCTCAGCATCTCATTTAGTCAGAACCTCAACAATATCTTAAAACACAATAGATTTAATTATTAACTGATTAAGATTGCAAGCTAATGCCATGACTTTAGCTCACAGTAATTTTTTTTTCTAACTATGTTAATGTTGCTCAGTTTACATTTTTGGCCGATATTTGACAAAAAATGGCAGCGAATTTCTGTCCCAAAACTTTTTTCTTAGTTGCTTGAAGTAAGTTTGAGAAGAATTGGATTTTCTTTCTCCCTTTTTACTGAAGAAAAAAAAATGGCAATGAAACCATATTTATAATTCTACATTTAGCTTTTGCTACTGTTGCATTGTACTGCTATTTTAATTAGTTTGGTGTTCTAAAAACATAGAAGTGTAACAGATATGAAAAATATAAAAGAATCAGGGAGGGGCAAACATTTTTAAGCTATATTTTACCTCTTGGCTACTTTCTAAATGTTACACTCCTAAATTAAAGCTTGGTTTATAAATGTGGTACGGGGCACCTTGATGAAATGTTTCATATTTCATATTCAAGTTACATTATATTACAAAACTCTCTGTGTCACAAATGACTGTGCTGTAAAATCCTTTAGACTTTGCCCCCTGAGAGGAGCAGGCCTTGGCACAGAGTGACACTAAAGGCTACTTAATACAAATTTGTAAAGTTTTTGTTTTGATTTTTAATAGCTGCACCATTTATTTTTAACCAGAAATAAAATAATAATTGAACTTTATTGATCTCACATTGGAGAAATTGACCTCTGCATTTATCTCATCCCCTTGGGGAGCAGTGGGCTGCCATCGTGGGGCGCTCCGGGAGTAATAAGCGGTTAAGGGTCTTGCTCAGAGAACCAGAATGGCAGTCTATGGGAGTGGGTTTCGAACTCACTACTAGTGTTGCACCGATACCAGTATCGGGCAGGGCCCTGATACTGCACTAAAATGGTGGTATCGGTATCGGAGAGTACCAGCAAAAAGTTCACTGATACCATTTTGAGAGCCAAAAGTTAATTCAACTATTGTCACTCATTCCAGGCAGGCAATAAAAAGTTCTACTGGATTCACTTTGTATTAATCTTTTTCCTGCTTCACAGAGGTAGGCAGCAGCTTGACAAAGCCATGATGGCAATTATTTTACATCCACTCAGTAGGGTGCAGTTCTTGATATACACACACACGGTATGGTATAAATAACGACCAATACTAGACAGTCAGGTATCAGGTATCGGTATCGGGGCCAAAAAATGGCATCGGCGCAACACTACTCGCAACCTCAGTTTTCCATGCCCAATGCCCTAACCACTAGGCCGCCACTCCCCTCAATGTGCCAAGGTCATTAAACCTTCATCAATATAGTCTGTATCTGCATAGTGTCATGTGAGAATAAGTAATGTATGTATACTGAGTATACTGTAAATATGACACTACTAAGTTGTTGCGCTTATATTATGAATATATGTTTTTTTTACTTTAAAAAAAAGCCTATGACAGTCTGGCTCAGATGGATATGATGTTGCTTGCAGCAGTTGTATATGTGCAGAGAAGGAAAGCTTCAATAATATCAATATTAGTTCCTCATAGCTGTGTGTTTACACTAGGACATTAATGTAAGACAATGACATTATTTAATAGCTTCTGATTAGTGCAGGAAATAATGAAATGTCCTGCTTAATGACTTGAGTAAATATTAACTATTTTAAAGCATAAAATTTAATATGGCTAGAATCCATGGTTTCTTTTCTCACTTGGTAAGCAAAAGGTTGTAGCTTCTCTGACAACCATCAACCAACCAACCAATCAACAACAGATTTTAAAATAGTTTGCAACAGTTTCTGTATCTTTTTATTATGCAAAAACATTTTTTGAATCCAAACACCAAGATCAATGTCTGATATAAAATATCTCAGCATCTAGAATGGAATGGTTGGTAAATTCGATTGCTTACTGAATTCCTTTTTTATCTGTTTAATGATACTTCTACAGTTAAACCAAGTACTGTATAATTCTCTCTTGTTTTTTTGTCTTACCTGTAGTTTCCTTTATCTTGGGGATTTTGTGACTTGTTCCAAACCCTGGTTCAGCACTGGTAGCTGCATGGATTTTCCTTATCAGGGTGGGGTCCATTGGATGCCCTGCTTTTCCCTGAACAGTGGGCCCATAGGCCTTCTCCTCAGCTCCGGCTGCATAACTAATCCCCTTTAGTGAAGACTCTGATAGCACATGCATACTGTCGGTTGCACAAAGGGGAGAATCCATTGGAGTGACACAACTGCTACTGCCAGTACTACAACCAGCGTCTATGGAGGAGCACTGTGAGCTCTGCAGAGAATGGACCTCTTCACTTTGTATCGATGACATGCGCTTGTTAACGTGGTATTCATACATCCGTGTGACATCCTGTTCTGACTGTGAAAGCTTGATCTGCTTCTGCTTATTGTCCTGTGAAGTAGCATCACTCTCAGCAGGAAAGGGCCCCTTGGATGGGGAGAGAAGATGGGCATTTAACTGTTGGTTTCTTTCATCTGAATCCTGGTTCTCTCCCTTTGCTGTCAGCCTGTCTGCGTGGGATGTCTGTGAGTCATTCGCACATTCTGGTGCAAGATTCTCTGCCATTTTGCTTCCCGGTGCTCTCTGCTGCCATTTTTGATGCCTGTCTTTGCAGTGAGTTCTCCCTAGATCAAGTTGATTCATGTAATAGGAATCTCTCACAGTGAAAGCATTGTACTTCCCTACAAGATGAGGGAGTTCTTCTTTTGCAGAATCTTGAGAAGTCAAATTAGATTTTTCCGAGGGGCTGCATGTATCTCCTTGGATACTCCTCTCCGCCTCTCTCTGCTTTCCTCTTTGCCTGCTCATTAAGGAGCCCATGTGCATCTTAGTGAAGAATTCACTCACTGATTTGATTTCCATAGTATCTGGTTCCATCTCACCACCATCTGAGTGGAAAATCTGAGAAGATGCTACTGCAGAGGATTTTGCTTCCTCTGGATTCTCATCACCAGTTGGGCAAACCTCAGCCTTTTCTTCATTCATGACACGATAGCCTTCTGTCATGGCTACATGCATCCTCAAGTGGTTTTCTGAATGTCTCTGAGCAGCAGCCAGCTCTGAGCTCTCAGTCATCTCTGAGGAGTTTGTCTCATTGCCAGAATCTGAAGACTCTGGGCTAAATGCTCTTGATATTTGCACACCTGTGTACCAAAAAGAAAAAGAGAAATACCTTATTAAAGATCTATTTTTAATCACATGGGAAATATCAAAGGATAATTCCACCAGAATTCATAGAAACGTTACTGTTAATCAACATAAAAAGAGGGCCTGATGAGACAATTAATGGATATGAATCAGTATAAAAATAGAACTTGCTACCTTATGTTTTACAAAACAACAATTCATTTAAGAAGCTCTAAATATGGTTCTGTATTCTGGCATATTGGAATACACTGTCTCATGAGTTGAGATGTTTGGAAGCAAATGGGATTATTGAAACATCAAGTCCTGCCAAGTCTTTAAAGAAAACTTTTGCGTCACTTTCAATCTGGTCATTTCATGTATTTTTTCACCCTTATAGACAGAATGAAAAATTGTTTTAATGCTTGATGCATGTTTTTAAGCATTGGAATAAGTCAAAATAAGTAGACAGTTGCTTAAGAAGTGAGTTGTATCAAACTGGTGATACAATTATATGCCCTGCCGTGTCAAATGCACAGTCAGGTAATACCTTAGCATAATTTTCTATGACATCATGCATTTCCAGGCCACTAGAACTAAAAGCATATACATAAAGGGGCTATAGGTGATGTTATTATTTTGTTAGAACTGCATGTGCCATTTATCCGACTTGGGATCTCTTTCCCTGCCACAGTTGGATCCAGTCCCACAAAACACGATGAAGTGGTTACAAACAATGGATGGATGGATGAATGGATGGGAAAAAAATAATAATCGTGTAGAACACATATGCCTTACTCAAAAAAACAAAAAAAAAGGTTGAAAACAAAGGATGTAACTAAGTTTTAATTCATGGCTGAGCTAATTAATTGAGTGACCTTGTTTGACTTTTAAATTAAGTATATAGTTGTCAAAGGATCAAGAATATGTAAAAAGTTTGACTAGGTAAACCTATTTTAAAGTAACTACCTATTCTAGATATTATTATCATATTTTTGTTGATATTCTATTAGTCTATCTTTCTACCAAAAAAGTTGATTCTGTTCTTTTCCATTCTAATCTATCTTTATCTAATCTTTTCTATCCTATTCTATATCTGTGTCCACGCCTTTTAAAATCCCAAGATATAGTACATAATGTGTTTCCAAGCCCACAGAGTTACTTTTCTTAGAGCTATGTTCTGGGGAAATAGTCCACATGGGACCTAATTTCCAATAACAAATCTAAAAAATGTGTGACTACTGTATGGTGAAGAACACTGATTGAAATAAATCAAAATGAAACTGAGTATTTGCATATTCCACATGAAAGGGGCTTAGTTTTCACGTTAAGTTGTTGCTTCTAGGATAAATTAGGATTCAAATCAGTATCATGCAAGGAGTGAAATAAAAAAATAATGAAAGCATTCTGATGCAAAAACGACTCTTATGTCTTACTTTAATATAACTCTGCCTCAGTCACACTCATTGCTTAATATGCCAAAATATACAAAGAATAAGTAGAGAAAAAATGTCCTTAATGAGAGTCCGAAGGTTTAACAGTCTATCTAATAGTAACAGCTACAAAAATGATTAGCACAGCACAGCCCTTTTAATGAAAATAAAAGGGAAGTCAGACGTTTGGGCCCATTTACTTAAAGCAGTTTCAGTTAATTTATTTTGCAATTTTCCTTAACATGTTAAAAATCTATCCCATTGCATTTTGTGTAAAAACAATCCAGAAAACGACATGAATGACACAATGTTAAGTACAAATGTTCCAAATGAATGAAAAATAAATCATAACTTGAAACATTAAACAGAATGGAGTTTATTTTTAAAAAATGAATGAACAAAAAGAAAAACAATAAGAGAAAATCAAAAATGAATGGACCAAGTGGGCATAATGTTAGTGGATGAATGTTACGATAGTGAAAGGAGAACCTGTGCTGCTCTCTGACTGTGCCGGACTCTGTTCTTCAGAAACAGCCAGGGCCTCGAGTGCCTGCAAGGTGGAAACAACTGCATCATCTAGAGGCTGCCCAGGGCCCTCTGCTGGGTGAGTGGGCACCGAGTCTATTAGAGATATTGGGATATCATTGCCAGCCTTCTGGGCCTGAGTCCCAGCCCCATGCTGTTCATCTTCATCAGAGCTGTCTCTAAAACCAGGGGGTGGAGCAGCAATGGCCATGTTGAGAGAGTGCAGAAGTACATCGTTGTCTTCCTCATCATTAACCTCTGGAGGCGGAGGAAGTGAGGTCAAGTCAATGATGTCATCACTAGACCCTGAGAGGGTCAGCAATGTGGGCTTATCGATTTCACTCATCACCAGGTCTTCCTCACAGCTGATGTCATCCTCATCCTCTGCATCATCCGTTGTCTCTGCATAACAGATATCGTGTAACAGGGGCTCCTCAATGCACTCTGCAGGACCAAAGATTTTGGTGGAGTATGGATAACCCTCCTCTATGGCATCCATCATCTTATAATCCTCCTCAAGACGCCTGTACATAGGGCTGTAACTGTCTGCAAGCTCTGGCCCTTCGTCCATCAGTCTTTGGTATCCCAGATTTTGGGGGTTCATGTTGTCCAGTGGGGGATCCCCAAATATGAAGGACACCTTTGCATTTCTGGAGGAGTCTGGCGGTTTAGGCATTGGGAAGTTGAGATAAGTTTGTGAACAAGGAACTCTGCAGCACTCGGCTCTTTCTGCCATGCGAACTGAGTGCTGCGGTTGGTGGATCTCTGTCACATATACAGGCTGGACTTCACATCTGCTCTGGTCGAGGTATTTACATCCCTGGTCTAGGTAATCTTGACTGCACCTCTGGTTATTTCTATCCTCGCATCCTTTGTGGGGTATGCTGTAGGCACACTCGATTGCTTGGTAATTCTGTTTTGGTTTAGCAGCATGGCCTGGGAAAGAGGAACAGAGAGGAGTTTAAAGTATTTTTAAAAACAAAACACATTCTGATGAGTCATGACCATTACAGACCAAAACTGCTCCCTTACCCGTTTCTGTTTTTTTGGCCACGTTGAAGATGGAGCGCCGAGAGTCAACGAGTAACCTGTAGTATCCAGCAGTCAAACAGGCCAGATTCATTGCATCAATAGGTTCCATTAAGAGAGTGATTGGCTTTGAGAGAAGAAAACAATCCAATCAGGCATTCCAATCAAACATAACCAGGAGGAGGGCTTTTACAAACTGACTTCAGAAATAAAATTTTTATTTACCTTCACATCCAGAACATGCAGTTCCATTCTAACCCTTTTCTCATCTTCAGAATACATCTCAATGCGGTTGACATGACTGAAGTCAGCCAGAAGCGCCACCAGATTTGTTTTTGTGTTTATCACATGGCTGATACCGTATTTGGGCCCCACCAGCAGAGTCACCTCTGTGTGTTTCTCTCCTTGCTGTAAAACGGAAAGAGACAACATAGAAATAGAACCCTAATAGCATGTGATACTTAAATGCACGCACGAAACACCAAGATGGTTTCACTCACCACCAGTGTGGATTTAAACACACGCCCTCCATAAAGTCTCAAGTCGCTGAGATACTTCAGATAATGCACCTTTGCTTGCAATGCAGTCAGCTACAGAGAGGACAGAAACAGGGAGACAAAATTTCAGAATTAAACTCAAGTAAGTACTTTAAAGTTTTTAAAGCAAGATATAAAGAAATACCATCTTGTATAAACACAAGCAAACAGCTTCCTTTCATAGTCCCTTGCTGAAGCTCTCATACCTGTTGTACTTTTACATATTTCGCCACATTACAATCACAAACAGCCTCTTTACAAAGCCCATTTTTTAGCTGTACCTTGAAGTATAATTCACCTAAAAAAAAGCCACAAAATTTGTAAACAGTGTCCACCTGGGTGTAATTAACATTCGTATAAATGCAGCTCCCCTGTGGTTTGTTGTGGAACATTAGTTAAAAAACATAATTAAAAAAGACCAAGGAAAATAGTAGAGCTTATGAAAAAAATAAACAGCAATTTTTTTTTTGTTTTCTGTCATGCAAAATGCTATCCATAACAGAAAGTCGATACTGCATCATCCTGAACACACTGTAAAACATGGTGATGGCAGCGTCACGCTGTGGGGATGCTTGGATGGAAAAGCTTCTTAGAGCTGATGGGACAATGAATGGGGAAAATAAAAAACAGTCCTGGAAAGAAATCTTTCAAAAACTGCAAAAGACTATAGAATGGAGCAGCTGTTCAGCAGAGCCTGACAACACAGCCTAACCTACAACAGGGAACATAACATGTTTTGGTCTCTATAAATGTATAATTAATCATTAATCATTTAATATCCTTGCAGTTCACTCTAAGTAAAAGGTGGTTAAAAAAACACATAAAAAAGCAGTTACTCGTAAATGAAATAGCATGAAAACATTTTGTTATTACAATTAACTTCAAAGTTATGAATAACTTCAGGTGTTTATCACCAAAAGCATCAATAAAATATACCTTTTTTTTTTGATTGTCCTATGACAAAACATGAGAAATGTAAGTGGATATATCTATGTGAAGCTCATGACTCACTGTATATCTTAATCCTCCACTAGGTGGTGTCATCGAGTCAGATGTGTAAAATAGAAAAACAACCCCACATAAATAAATATAAATAAGTAGCTTTTTACCTTTTTACCAGGTGGTACCAAATTTTGGTTGGTTTTCAGAATATGAGTGAGGGCCTTCTTGATATTCTTCTCTTTCATACTGGATAACACTGCTGGTGGCAGGAATAACGCCAAGCCCCACTCCTTCCTGTCGACACACAGTTAATACAGATAATCCTTTAATAAAAGTAGCTCTCATCACTCAAAGTGGGGGCTTTGATCAGGGATAAAATAATCTCAAAACCAACTATTGAAGCAGAGGCATAGCTGTAAGGTTATTATCTGCTCAACTGCACCAAGTAGTTGTATCTTCTGGAGCAAGTTATTGAATAGAAAAAAGAAAAAAAAAAACTCATGTCAGTCAAACAGTGCAGTTTGAATATTGATATACTTACTGAATATACTTCAGGGAAACTTTCTGAGACTGTTTAGTATTAATGGTCAGAATGTACATTTGCAAGGCAGCCAGACGAAGAGCTGTGTCATATTTCAGTTCTGACCCAAATCTCTCCAGTACCACATCATTACAGCTCTATAAGGAGGGAAAGAGAAGTGCAATGAGGAACAATTAGTTTAATATACTTTTGAAATCTAAAAGAACAGGTCACATAGAATGAGTGTTTATAAATAAATCTAAATAATGAAAAGAATTTCAAATACAGATATTCAGATTCATGGGTATTTTCACACTGCAATTATAAAATAAACATTGAGTAGTCTTAAAAACAATAGGTATAAATGCATCCTTGCATTTATACCTGAACATAGAGGTACTCAAAGGCTACTGCATCTCTCCTTAGCAGGTCCACGGGATCCTTTGGGACAAAAGTGATCCTAAAGAAGCACTTCATCTTGTGTGAGCCCGGCCTCTGTGTCACCTAAAGCATGATCCCAGAAAGAAGGTTAGGTTAGTCAGAATATTCTCTTGCAAAATTTTACATGGTTTAATAGCTGCAAATATTTTTAGTACCTACTTTATACCGATACGGGTCAGTTTTAAAGAAGAGAGAGTTGAGCAAAAAATGGCCGTGCTCTCGATTTAGTGAGCAGTCTGTGTTCCTACTACTACTCACACCTATAGTCATGAAATCTGGAACAGCCGTTAGCTGCATAAAGAAACCTGTCCATACAATCAGTAAGAATCCAATTATGGTTAGGCCAAAGAGGTGTCCAAAGACACTAGAGAAAAAAATGTTACACCTCCACAAGGCTGGAAAGGGCTACAGGGAGATTGCCAAGCAGCTTGATAAAAAAAAAGCCAACTGTTGGAGCAATCATTATAAATTGGAGGAAACTAAACATGACTGTCAATCTCCCTCTGACTGGGGCTCCATGCAAGATCTCACCTTGTGGGGTCTCAGTGATCCTAAGAGAGGTGAGAAATTAGCCAAGAACTACACAGGAGGAGCTGGTTAACAACCTTAAAGGGCTGGGACCCCTGTTTCCAAGGTTACTGTTGGTAATACACTAACACCTAATGGTTTGAAATCATGCATGATACGGAAGGTTCCCCTGCTTAAACCAGCACATGTCAAGGCCTGCCTTACGTTTACTAATTACCATTTTGATGATCCAGAGGAGCCATGGGAGAAAGTCATGTGGTCAGATGAGACCAAAATAGAACTTTTTTGTCATAATTCCACTAATGGTGTTTGGAGGAAGAGGAATGATGAGTACCATCATAAGAAAACCAACCATACTGTGAAGTATGGGGGTGGTAGCATCATGCTTTGGGGGTGTTTTTTTGCACATAGGACAGGGCGACTGCACTGTATTAAGGAAAGGATGACCGGGGCCATGTATTGCGAGATTTTGGGGAACAACCTCCTTCCCTCACTTAGAAAATTGAAGATGGGTCTTACATCATGACAATGACCCAAAAGGCACAGCCAAGATAGCCAAGGAATGGCTCTGGAAGAAGCATATCAAGGTTCTGGTGTGGACTAGCCAGTCTCCAGACCTAATCTTTGGAGGGAGCTCAAACTCCCTGAAACGTGAGTGATCTAGAGAAGATCTGTGTGGAGGAGTGGGCCACAATCCCTCCTGCAGTGTGTGCAAACCTGGTGAAAAACTACAGGAAACGTTTGACCTCTGTAATTGAAATACCAAATATTAACAAATAGCAATACTTTTTTTTAGCTGTATGATTCAATTTTTTTTTAATTATGTCTCACAATGGACATGCACATACAATGACAAGACTAAATTTCCTTTAATATTGTTTGAAGAGGAAAAATACATCAAATTTATGTATACCATATTTAAGAGATACGTTCATGAAAAAATATGTTTGAACTGAAGGACAGCTTAATCATGATGGCGCTCTTACTGTACCTGAGTTAGCATCTCCTGCTCGTGCAGGAGCATGAGTTTGCTGGCAGATCCCTCTGCTCGCTGCTCCAACATTAAAGAGAAGTGCTCGATGCACTTAATAGATAGCTTTTCTTGCAGGGTCGAAATGACGTCCTTCAATGTAGACAATGTCACAGTTAATACAACACAAAGGGGTAAAGATGCAGCATTATGCATGAGCTCAGTTCCCAGTCATGCTTGAAAATCCTTTTCATTCTGTAAATGTTTAGAAGCCTCCCCATTTTTAATATACATTTAGAATTCAAACTGCTAAAAAATCAGGGGGCAAATGTCAAACGCTAAATTCACCTCTCCTTCACAATAAAATCTACTCCCACTTCTCTTTGATTGCATTGTAATTTCAGCTGAGATATGGCTGTTAATGCCCCAGTGAATAGAAAAGGTTGCACTTCATAATGTAAAACCTGAGCATTCTTTTAGACTGCATAATAGAGTTTCAGTGTGAAAGGACACCCTTACTGGCACCTACCTTAATGGATGTGTTGCTGTCAAATCTAAAGGATTTAGTCTGGCCATTTTCCAGGTACACCTTCAAAACATTTGGCATAAAAAGAAGAGAGTTGTCCTTCACTGTTTCCTGAAAAAGGAACAGAAAATGTATGATCAACAAATGTATCTTTATAAAGAGGGATATTCATAAAGTTGTCAAAAAAACAATGGAAGCCACCTCAGAAAACACATACTATGGCTTGCAAAGATTTTAAGGTTCCTTAAATATTTTAACATCATGTCATTTTGCAACCACAAAAAAAAAACAATGTCGTTTATTTGGATTTTATAGGGCTTAACACTAAAGAGCCCTTAGATGCCTTGCCTGTTGTTAGGGTCAGATGGCCTGGTGCTGTTATGGATGGCAGCGCCACTTCTTAAATGTGTGTGTGAATGACTAAATAACTGATCCTTGGACTGATAAAGTGCTATACAAGTACAAGTCATTTCAGTTACTGTAAAAATTAATGAATCAAATCTGAAGAGTGTAGTTAAAGGTATAGTCGAGGATGTTCTTTTTCCAGGTGGATCATCAAAATAAGTGGTCCTCCTAACTGTCAATCATTCTGGTGATATGTTTACATAAGGCCGTCCTACGTGCTGGTCCCCATTTTCACTAAACAGTGGTGAGACTGACATAGTGGAAAAATTGCAAAGCTTCTTCTGTAAAGTAAGCTTTTATGAGTGATGCAAACAGTAACTTGTAAACAGAGCGTGCAAGAGGAGCACACTCGTGCATGCTCTTGCACGTGTTTAATAGGCGTTCCCTCTTGTGAGTGGCTACAGGGTTGTACATGTGCCTTTTTTATAGTGGAGAGGGCGGGTCTTTTCAAAATTTGCAAAAATCCTCCACTATGCCTTTAATATCTATACAGAATTCATTTTATTTTTTTTTATTTAATGAGTATAACTTTAGCTGTTCTGTGAAAGCCTCTATGGTTTGTTAGAGAACAGATGCAACATGCAGACCAAGGAACATACCAGAAATGTCATATATATAGATTTGGAGAAATTAAAAGCAGGGTCAGAGTAAGAACAAAAGATCTTCTGAGCTTTAAACACAATTGATCCATAAACTGAAAATAGAAAACCCTGTTACCCTGACAACAGTACACCTAAACAAGAAGACAAGAAGGATGTTTACCAGAGATCAGTCAAAAAGATAAAAAGATGTAACATCTACATGATCCTCACACTTTAGTCAGGACTCTGTTGATTGGACAGAAAGTAGCTGGGCCCTGTAACAATATGCCCTGGAATATGTTTTTTTCTAGAGTACTGCATGCCCTATAGGCAAGATAGCAACATGTTGAAGAAGAACCTGTTAGCAAAAATGGATGAACACACTAAAAGCAATATGTTCAAATATGTCAAACTGAACATCCCATCTCCAACAGGAAAGCATAGTGGTGGCAGTACAATTCCATGGTGATTTGTTTTTTAAAAACAGAAAATAAAAAAATAGTAAGAGCTGATAGATGTTGAAGCTAAATGCAGGGAAGTCCTGCGTGTGGGGGGGTTTGAGAGAGACCTAAGTCTAAGGCAGTATGATTATTCCACAGCTTGTGTCTCTCTTAAACTTATTTCTTTAGAATAACTGGGACATTTTCCCATCTCTCTTGGACCAAGCAGAGGTGGACAACCAATTCAGTGATTTTATAATCAGGCTTTAGTCACTTCATATTTTCCAACTGAGTTCAAGTTTTATTTTTTGTTGTAAATTTTGATTGATTTTCTTAATGTTCTAAGTTAAAACTTATTAACTTCATGGGAGAAGAAGGGGAGATGGTGGAGAAGTATAGATATAGAGCAATCTGTACATCTTAAGGAAGCTTAGGTCCTTCAGTGTTCTGAAGATGCTGCTTATCTTTTGTGTCTGTTGTGGAGAGTTTGATGTATTTTGCCATAATCTGGTGGGGTAACTGCATCAGAGCAAACAACTTAGAGAAGCTCAACATAAAGGCCATTTCTGTTCTCCTCTAAAACCTCTGGAGATGATTTTACAAAGCAGAAGTCTTCATAGATAAAGAAAATTATAGATAACAGAGCAACAGCAAAAAAAGTCTCTAAGATCAGGTGCAACAGAGAAAATCACTATAAAACAACTAATTGAAAAAGTCACAAAAACAGAATAAAATAGAATTGCTGCAGTAAACAGTACACTGACACGAAAAGCTGGCAGTGGCAGACCATAAAAGGCTTTCTAAAACACATTGATAAGGGAGGGCTCATTTTCAGAATTTTATTTTGAAAAAAGTCCTCTTTACAGAAAAGCAATGATAGCCATTTGTGGTAAACAACTGGCAAATGGTGACAACATACAAACAAAACCAAAAAAACCCAAAACAATTGGTATTAACACCTTTGTATGTCAATGTATTTAAAAGCGGGTTGTATTAACACTATCACTCCTTATGAGATTATCCTCACATCTGTGGCCCCCACCCTCTCCCTTTTCTTAATGTATGTTAGGCCAATAGTAACTGCTCTCTCACATCATGCTGTTGTGTGTGTGCTTTCATACAGCAAGATAGCATTACAGAAGATTACAGTGCATTTGAAGTCCCTCTAAGGCACAGGTGTCAAACTGTTTGCAGAAAGGGCCTATTGGCTGCAAGTTTTCTTTCCAACCAAACAATAGCACACCAGACTCCATTCATATCAACAAGTCATCATGTTCAGATTGGACTCCCTTGATAAGATGACTGGAGTCTGGTGTGCTATTGCTTGGTTGGAAAGAAAACCTGAAGCTACACGGCCCTTTCTGGAACCTGTTTGACACCCCTGCTAAGGGATAACATATCAAATACATATAGAATCAAATTCTGTCTATTTCATCTCTGGTTCTAAATCTAGACGAGATAAGTTGTTGGGTGTGACTTACTGGGACCTGTCCATTGACGATGACCTCCTCAGCAAAGCGGACTTTAACAGGATTCGTCTTTAACTTGGCCTTTTTGGCTGCACTGATGAATGCAGATTTGGGTGACTTTAAGAGAGAAAGAAGAAAGGCAGAACAATTAAGGATTTCAAGGAAAATCTGCTCTAATTTTGAGATGAAATATGAGCATGATTTAAGGGAATAAAAAATGTTAGCTTTTCTTTGAATTTCTGCAAGTCACATAACAGCAATCCAAGGCATAGTAATGAGAAAAACCCTGTTGCTGTCAGATTACCAAATGTTTGAAGATTTAACAATTACTAAGTAGCTTTTATCAAATAATTAGCACAATTGACACTATTATATCCTATTGATAAGAACTGAAAGATTGTGGTTTGGTACCACAATTTTAAACTTTTACAGTGAGCTACGAGTTTAAGTCCCTGCAATGTAAAGAACCTCAAACAAAATGTCTTACTGTATTCGATCATGCCCTGATGTTTTTGTATGTTATTGGAAGAAAACCTTGCATAACACCATTTCCAGTGACTTATTATGTGAACTGCAAACAAAGCCCGCAAAGAGGGTATGCTCCTGGCACTGTGTGCTCACCACCATCTGGTGCTTTCTAGGAAATGTTGTTGTGGCAAATTAACAAGAGGTCCTGTGTGGTTCTAAGTCTTAGATGTGGCAGCTCTCAAAAAGGATAGACTTTCTTTGAGTTGCTCAATTTCTTACTTAATATGAAAGGCATGACTGATATAGTTTTAGGACCTATGTATGACATGATGAAGGACTTGCTTGCATAGTTTCAACAAAACAATGCTGAAATGTTTATTGGGGTAATTGAATTTATCTCAAAGAGGAGAAACTTACTGGGTATGGCTGAACAACACTCAGCACAATAGACTCCTTGCAGCTTCTGTGATACAAAAAAGAGAAAAACAGGTCAATTGTAATTTCACTACTTTATCTGTGCCTGATATTTCAAGAGGGATAATCCATGTTTGAAAAGCTAGATTGTGAGAAAGAGCAACATCACACCCAAGGTCCCAAACTCACCCAGGTCCGAGATACCTTGACTTCTCTCTCCTCAGGTTGTAGACATATGGGTTTGATCTACTGTTACCTGTTTTAGTCTGACAATCTAAACCCAAGGGGCAATGGCCAGGCCACCAGCCAAGGCCCCCAACCGAGGCCTTAATCCAGGAGGATGCTGGGGTCTTCTAAGCCAGTTGTTCCAATATTTTCTTTCTTAATCAAGGTGTTTGAAATGTTTCCTAGTCTTGTCTAAACTATTTTATGAAGCCACTTTTTCCTTGTTTATAACCCAAACCCTTTACATAATAACCCCCAAGCCAATGGGGTTCTCAAACCAGCAACTTTCATAGGGTGATAATTTGGAAGAAGACCAGGGCACCTGTTCATGGTAAGAAAATTGTCTAGTTCTGGAACCAGCATCTTTGCTATTTAGGATGATTTACTTGTGTTGGTGCTTTAAGACCAAAGCCTACTGCTTACAATCGGATGGTTCAAAAGAGAGTTTAGGGCTGCCGTGATGAGAGTCAGCTCTTGTACTGCAAGTCTGAGGTAGAGATGTACCCTTCCGATAACTGGATCAGATATTGGCTCCGATGTTGACTAATTAGCTTGATCAATATAGGTTGCGTGATGCCTGTAACACATTCTCACACAGAGTTTTGGTTAAATACTTTATCCTGTCATTCAACAGTAGTATCAAATCATCAGATCAGTATTAGGTATCAGATGAAATACTCAGCCTGGATATTGGTATTGGATAGCTGGAACTGATATCTCTATTGCAATATAAATTGTAAGAAAAAAAATTGTGACTGCAAAAACTAGTTTGCATGCCATGCCTCTTGAAGTGATTACAAATATCAGAGTCTTGATCTCGTGAAACAATAGGAAAGCTTTGGGAGAAATTGAAAGGTAATGTAGGTTTTGGTCCAGTTTGTCATCAAGAAAGAATTATGCAAAAGAGTGAAGCTCTCTCTTTCCCTGTCTGCCAACATTCCAACCCAAACTAAGATCCTAAAGAAATAGTAAATTATTGAAAAAAATATGATCCCAAAGCCAGGTGGCAATATAAGTTTCCTGTATATGGTGCCTGTGCTCAGCCTTAGAAATAGAGTGAGGAACTAGCTCCTCCAGAGGAAGAAAAGAACACAGCCACTCCGTCTCTGAATGAAAAAGGGTCAGTTGATGTGGTCTGATCATAATGCCACCTGGAGGATTGACGTTTGAGGTTCTCAGGGAAAATAGGCCAGTGAGTTTCACTGGGGAGAGAGATGTCTGGAGTTTCCTCCTGGAGCTTAAACTCACAGGACCTGATTTCAATAATAAGCAGAAAGCAATGAGTAAATAAATGATTAAAGAAAATAAAAAGTGTGATTAAAGGAATCATGTTGAGAATGGCAGAAAAGTCCATCTAAAGACTGGGATACTCTTTTCGATTGTTGCCCCTGACAATTATGTCCTGCCAAGGAAGCACAGGATGACAAGTAGACAGCTTTACTGAGAAAATCCATTCAAATCCATCAGATCTATGAAGTCCGGCCAATAAACACCTTTTCCTTTACTGCCACTTACAGAGCAGTTGCTCAGTTAGTAACTAAGAGCTTTTACTAATTTATCTATCAATTAAGTTGAGAAAAAATCTATTAAATAGTACACTTCAATTTCATTAAGCATGCATACAAGGCTAGATGCTCTGTAAATAATACAATATATTTGTGAGAATCATCAATAAAAAGAGTATTTTTGGTTTTTGTTGTTATTTAATTATCTGTGACAGGTTTGACACAAGCCAAATATCTTACCTGACAAGGTCGATAACCCTCTCCCTGGGAGCTGAGCTGACTGGTTCATCATTAATCATGATGATCTCGTCCCCAGGGACCAGTTTGCCTTCTGATGGACCCCCTGCCAAAACATACCAAACATTGCTTCAGGTACACACAAATAGCATGCTGTATAGTGCATTCTCAATTTTCTTTGTCCTGTCTTGTGGCCAAGGCTCTAATGAACGTTTACTCATTGAGGGCTTTTAAAATCACTGAATCATCAGCATAAGTGGGTTTACCTCCAGGCTACTACATTTTTGGTGGATTTCATCTCATGATCTGGCTGTGGACTGAATGAGTCAGTGTTGTTTTAGGAGGGTTAGTGTGAAGGGGGGTCTTTCTCATTACCTGGAGTGACTGACCGGACCACAACAGGTTTCTCACTTCCTGCCACAAATCCAAAGCCAAGCACTGGATCCCGCCTCATCTCAACCTTCCGGGGCGTGGGGGGCACAAACTTGTCTCCATCCAGACGAACTTCCTCCAGGGAGCTGCTATGGGAGATCTGACTGAGGGAAAAATGTAAGAAATAATTCTACTTAGTAATAATTATTGCAATAACTTACTATAAGGCTTTTTACAACATGGTATTCAGAGGTATTATGGTCTATTGGCATTGTAAACAAAACCTTTGTCTCAAACGGTACGGACAAATGTTATGCAAGTATCAATCATGCCCAATAATGTTACTTTTAGTGATATATACTGCTCAGTATTACTGTATATCGTGGTAATTACATTTTATTGTTAATCAGACATGTTTTTTTTTCCAAAACAAATTCCATATCATATGTTTATTACTGACCTTTACTCGTATGTATGTGGGTTACTAATTTCCTTAAAACTAGAACTCAATACACTTGATGAACAAATAAGGATGAAGAGAAATGTACCAAGGATAAATAAAATATCAATGGTACTATTAGAATGCTGATACTATAAGAATACCTTAAATGTTAAGTTTATAACATCACATTACACTATTGTAGATGCATATCAGTTCATAAATGAATATTGTTTATTTTAATAGTAAATCAAAATGGGTACACAGATGGAGCTAATGTGCAGGTTGACAAAAGTTACAATTATTTAGATTTCAACATGGAGACACATAGAGAAAAGCTGTAATCAGAAAATTATTGCTCAATTTATTTATGTAGGTAACAGTCAGATTCTTCAAAAATGTTCAATTTAAGGAAAACCAGCTCATTGCTAGGACTCATTTACTCTTCGTCATCCCTCACACCGAGCATGCATGTAGTAACAGAGGAGAGGAAAACTCTCTTTAAAAGAAACTTACAGCAGAACCAGGATCAGTGTGAACGGCCATCTGCTAAGGCCGACTGGGGTTCAAGGAAATGGAAGCAGATAATGAAATTTGCTTTTTGGTGCTTGGGCCCTGACAGAAGACAATAAACTGTAAACATTCACTTGGATGAGTAATCTAGGCAAAGGACTAGACAAGTCTTCCCCCCTGGGGCCTGTACACTGCTGGTGGAATAAACCAGAAGGTGAATGGGACTGAGAATAGTCTGAGAATGCAGGAGGAGGTGGGGTGGATGTGGGTGAACGGGTGGGAGCTAAATTAAGGGGATCTTGAAAGTTGATTGGTTTGTAGAAGACGTGGCCCCGAGTTGATTGGCTGGAGATAAAGAAGGGACATCGCAGTCGCTCAGGTAAAGCTGATAAGAGTGTTCCAGATCTAATTTTCACTTAAGATTCATGAGTCCTTTTATTAGATGGAATTACTGGATAATGGATTATATCACAGATATGCAAGTATATTGTTTTATGTCATCTTTTGATTGTATTATTTTTGGCCACTGATAGTGCTGGTGTCTTTAATTTATACAAAACCAGCTTGTAAAGATGTCAAATATAATCTTAATTTTCTCTCAAATCACATTAACAGCAATATGTCACAATTACCGTCCTCATTTCTGCAGGTTGTCTTTTTATTATTGCCCACTGTAACTAGTTTTAAGTGGATTAACACTTAACAGGTGTTTCGTTTCAGTGGTTCAAACAAAGACTGTGTTTTTTTTTTTGTCTTTTTTTGACTTCACTTTTTTCAGTACACTTTATAAATAACTACAAAACAATCAGGCTATAGAATATTTTTCTTAGCATTTTAAGCTGAAAAGGTGTGCATAACTGTACACAAATTTCACATATGGTGTGATATATTTTTTACACCATTTCTTCACTCTCCTTGGCTACAGAAGCATCAGCAGTGGCATCTCTGCATGGTGCCAAATGTGTTGGTTAATTAAAGCTCTGGGCAGACAGTGTGTAATTCACAGTTATTCTTAACATGCATTCTTTTCACAGCTAAATACCATCAATTAACCTTTCACTGAACAAAGAAACAGTAAGATCTGTCATTTGGATTTGCAATGTCACAAAAAAAGCCAGAACGGGTACAACAAGTTTAAAGATGTTAATCAATTGTCAGACAGGATTCTGATGGAGGATTTATCTGCCTCTTTCAAGAACAAAAGCCATGACAGCTTCCATCAAGATGTAAAATGTAGAAATAAAATTTAAAGGGCACTCATACAAAAATCAGTACTAAATAATAGAAATTATTTTAGCTGACCTATCAATACCTTTACACCATTGAGTTTTCAATGACTATTATTCCAGGGCAAGCCTGCAAAACAGTAACTTTATAAATCCTGATCCTCCTGGACCCGCTGCAGTTCGCCTACAGAGCCAACAGGTCCGTAGACGACGCAGTCAACCTGGCCCTCCACTTCATCCTGCAGCATCTGGACTCCCCAGGAACCTACGCCAGGATCCTGTTCGTGGACTTCAGCTCTGCCTTCAACTCCATCCTCCCGGGTCTGCTCCAGGACAAGCTGTACCAGCTCAACGTGCCCAGCTCCCTCTGCAGGTGGATTACTGACTTCCTGACGGACCGGAGACAGCACGTGAGGCTCGGAACAACTGTCTCTGACACACGGACCATCAACATCGGATCCCCCCAGGGCTGTGTCCTTTCCCCCTGGCTTTTCTCCCTGTACACCAACTGCTGCACCTCTAGCCATCAGTCCGTGAAACTGATCAAGTTTGCGGACGACACCACCCTCATCGGGCTCATCTCCGACGGTGATGAGTCTGCCTACAGGAGGGAGGTGGACCGGCTGGTGTCCTGGTGCAGCAGCAACAACCTGGATCTGAACACCCAAAAGACAGTGGAGATGATTGTGGACTTTAGAAAGGTCACAGCCCCACCGTCCCCCCTTGCCCTCACAGACAGCCCCACCCCCATCTCCAACGTGGAGTCCTTCCGCTTCCTGGGCACCACCATCACCCAGGACCTCAAGTGGGAGCTGACCATCAGCTCCCTCGTCAAGAAGGCCCAGCAGAGGATGTTCTTTCTGCGGCAGCTGAGGAAACTTAAGCTGCCAACCCGGATGTTGGTGCAGTTTTACACCTCCATCATTGAGTCCATCCTCACATCCTCCATCACCGTGTGGTACACTGGCGCCACCGCCAGGGACAGATACCAACTGCAGCGCATTGTGCGCTCCGCTGAGAAGGTGATCGGCTGTAAGCTGCCATCACTCCAGGACCTGTATGTCTCCAGGACCAGGAGACGTGCAGGTCGCATCACAGCCGACCCTTCTCACCCTGGACACAGACTGTTTGAACCTCTCCCCTCAGGGAGGAGGCTACGGTCCATACGGACCAGAACCTCCCGCCATAAAAACAGCTTCTTCCCCTCTGCCATAAGACTCATGAACACTATATGTCAGACTCCATAACCTGCCCATGCCATTCACACTGCTGTATTGCACACTGCTCTATTTGCACTATCTTGTACATTTTACTTTTTATATTTATCCATATTTTTATCTTAAGTGTATATATTAGTATATTTTTTGCATGCCTTATACCCTAGTGTTTTTAGAGATTTTTATAATTTTATTTACTATTTCATATATGTTTCATGTTGCACGACTGTACCACAGAAATTTCCTAGTTGTGAACCTCTTCACTAACAATGGCAATAAACCCGATTCTGATTCTGATTCTGATGTATATTTTATCAGCGAGACGTAACATTTGGTGGCTGATTTTAGTTGCTTACTTAAAACTTTGAAATGTAAGATCAGATCAAAAAGAGTAAATTCAACAAACTCATTATTACCTGATAAAGGTTATACTTCTGAGGGGGACCTTTCAAAAACTCTTTCTTTTTCACCAGAAAATTGAGTTGTTGTTTTTTTATCCCATCTCCCAATTCCAAATTATTAGAATCTAAACAGCTTTCTAGTGTGTATGGTAGTAAATGTATATATTATCCTAAAAGGTTTCGCATGATCACTAGAAATGAGACTTTTTTATCGTTATTTCTCTTGTATCTCCCCTTTTATCTACTCTTTCTTTCATCTTTCCTTCCTTTTTCTGTTTTCCCTTTCCTGTTCTACTTACATTGCAGTGTCCATAAAATCTGTAATACTCCCTGCATGAATTATAATAAAGCTATTTATGTGCAATCAAACACAACACTATTGCGATAGCCATATTGCTCCACTTGTGAAAGTAAAATCTATTGGGCTCTCTTTTATGAATTGAGACAATTATTCTTATTGCCACATTGCCAGACAGGATGCTGTAAAAAAAAAAAAAAAAGAAAAAGAAAAAAAGAAATGAGACTACTGACCTAGACAATGAGTTGCTTTCACTTTATACTGATTATATTAATGTCTTGAAAATAAACTCCAGATTGATACAACTATTAACCATTTAGTATGTTTATGCTGAACATCTATATACATTTATTGAAAATAACATGCTTTTTCTTTAAATTAAAAACAACACAGAGACATTTATTGATATAAACTCTAAAGAAGATATAAAACTTTAGCAAAGCATGAAAACTAAAATTCTGTCTTTTCAGCACACAGTGCTTTGTAGAGGCATGCTATTTATATTCATAATTTTTCTTCTACACGATTATAAAGTGGAAGTTCAATGAGACAATGCTTTTAAAATCTTTTCCCAAGAATTGTTTAAAAACTGTGGCGTGGATGAAATATGTATCCAGCTCCAATGAAGCACTAAAAAAAAGTAACCACTTTTTTTACCCACCAAGTGTGTGTGTGTGTGTAATATTTTTCCTATCTATCTTTCTTAATAGTTAAAGTTCAATCAGAATGGATGGACAGCCTATATGAACATTTATTTTGATCCCGTCAACAAATAAAGAATAGCATATAATAGAAAAAGGAATTAAAGCTGAAGTCTGTAAGTTTTTAAAAATCACTTTTCTGTCATATTGGCTAAAACTGTCCCTATGCCCAGACAGCAGTACATGTGATATGTAACCTGTGAAAAAAACTGCTTCAATTGTTCCCGCCTACTGCCTGTATTGCAATCTGGAAAGAATATTTCGGGACGAGTCAAAACAACCAATCACAGCCAGAGGAGCATCTGAAGGAGTGTCAATCACAGCTCACACACGCTGAATCCCGCCCCCTCCCTCTCACCGCTGAACCTG